ACAGTCCCAACCAGCTTAAAACTTGCAGAATGGCTTCATTCACTTCTTTAAATGAGGTATCCTCCACCAGTCGTTATCTATTTAGGGACATATGTAAGGCAGAGGGGAAGGGGGAGGAATTAACCCCTGAGAGCCCACAGGAGGAACTGTTATAAATGAAAAGCTACACAGATGTGGAGATCAACTCAAAAGAGGTAGTTTGCCAGCCATGTATTTTCTCCGATGATAAATAATAATTACTCCCCTCCAAATTCTCTTCAGGCTGGTTTGTTCCACTCCCTTCCAAATTCTTCAATACTTGGAATTCATATTTATGTATTAAGCAGAACATAAAATGTTGCCTTCATCAATAATAATGCTCTGAGGATGTCTCAGTTTGGAAGGTGAGAAAGCTGAAAAAAAATCTTAAGATGTTATTAAGTTCTTATTTGTACTGAATTTTAATTCGCTTGTTGAGCCAGAGTTCTCCAGGATGCTTCAGAGTTCTCAGAGATAGCTGTTGAGGTCAAACAGGTGTCTGGGAACCACAATAAACATCACCTAAGAACGTGACAGCTCATCACTTGAGATGGATCCAATTGCAAGACCTTGGCAGTCTCAGAGACCTGAGTCCCGATGGACCTCAGGTGTTTCCTGCCTGATGGCAAGATAGACATACAGATATTTTCAAGTTAAAGATGTCAACTATTCCATTCTACACTGGAAGTGGTTTGGGGCAAACACCATCTCTGTCTTGAAAAATAACCCAGTCTTTGGACCAGGGATAAAATAAGAGGCTTTTTAAATTATACTTTTGATGAAATTTAACTGGGGATACCTGAAAGACAATTTAAATACTTGTCAAAATTTTGTTAACACCCTGTTTTGTTTCATTATTTCAGCTTGTAACTGTCTTAAATTGTCAGTAGCCTAAAAAAAGTACTTCTGTGCATTATGTGCTATCACCGACTCACAGGGAGGGAACATTAAGTGGACAGACATCTTGTTTTATCTGTCAAATATTCTGGAAACTGATGTAAAGAACAGAACCTGCACCAGCCTAAAATGTGACAAGAGAAGTTAGCTAATGATAATTCTGATTTAAACTGAATAGTAACATGGCTCCATGCTGAAAGTCAATTCTACTTACCACTCTATTGTAATTGCAAGTCATCGGTGCATATGCCTGCTCTGCAATGTACAAGAATTCTGCTTTGGAATCTGGAGGCTCTGGCCAGCAATACCAAGATGCTGACCTGACTCATATTATATGAAAATCATAAATGGAAGAATACACATCCTATGCCTCAGCGTCCTCTCTGTCATGTAAATCATGACTAATGAAGCACAAATTGAGCTCGTGTAAAGCATATTTTAAGTACCCAATTACTGTAAAGAAATTCTTTCACCTTTGAGCAACTGACTAAATACAGATTCCAGTGGTCTGATTTTCAAGAGAGCGACTTATCTTGTGAGATTTAAATTTTTTTCCATGATATGCACTGTTGGCACAACTTTCAGTCCTCATGGACTCTGAGCTCAAGGATACTTTCCTCTCTCAGCTTTGTTTTTTTTTTTAAGCTTGCATGTTTGCCCACCTTCCAGTAATACAACTCCCATTGCTGTATCTCTGAACAGGATACGAAACATGCAGGGGAGCCTCCTTATTGTATTTATCTAGTCCTTCCATCACTGCAGAGGGAGGTAATGGCTACACAGATCCTACTGAATCTGTTGGCCTCCAGGACATAAGGATTGTAATATGCTGGACATCACTCAGACACATGAGGCCATGGGATCCGGCAAATAAATGCAAGTCCTGAAGCTGCAGCCAGACCTGCACCCATGTGCAAGATCTGCTTTGAAGGTCTATTGGAAAGTGGAACACAGCTGAGGCAAGAGACACCACCAGGGCAAGCAGATACGAAACAAGGCTCAGACAGTGGGACTCCTGGTTCCTTCAGCCTCAAAAAAGTTATTTAATATCTCAGATACCTCCAAAAAACATTTCCACCAGTTCACTTGTTAATAAAAAGTAGCGCATATCCAAGGCAATTCAGTGCCTGAAGCTGGTGACCCAAAGGAAGAGGATTGGCAGTGATCTCACAAGCCTGATGTACTTCTTATTGGGTGGCCATGCTTACCCAGTGCTGCAACAGCATCCTAGGCAAAAAACACCCCAAAGAGCAATGACAAATGACAAGAACTAGATGACCTACGAGGCCCACTGGTACACAGTGTAAGAGTATACATACAAACAGGCTCACCTCTTTGAACACCGAAGGCCTCGACCTCAAAATGGGGCAATAGACCAAAGCATCACATGTGGTTGTCTTGTCTGTGAAAGATTTCTATGTAGCTCCTTCAACAAATGAAATTACTGTTCTCTCTGCCCTTTCTTTTCAGAGTGACGTTGTGTTTCCAGATTTCTTTAAAGTATGCGGGACTACATACATTTATAACTTTGAATTTTGCTACCTTTCACTGTGACTTTCCTTTTGAGAGATCACTTTTATCCTGGAGCTTCTCTTAAGATTATTGGAGCAAAACCAGCTGCAGTCAAATCCAAGGCTTCACCCTTCCATTAGCAAGCAGTAACGTGTCTTTCTTACCTTTATAAAACAATGCTTCCTTCCTACAAAGAGGCAAAGACTCCAAATCTTCACTAATAAGGCCTGGTAATCAGCATCCCTGTGCCAATAAATTACAGTTCCTCTGCATCCCCACTTCTTGGAGCTGTGGTTTTACAGTGAGATTTTCCATTCACTACAGTAGTTTCTGGGGACAATTAGGCTTGATGTGTTAAGCCATGGTGTTCTTTTCAGCCACATACATCTCAATAGACTCATCTCATTTCTCAGATGAGAATGTCTGAGTGTATTCCTGTCCACTTCATAGAACCAAGAACACAAACTAGTTTCAGAACCACTCCATCAACATCTTTTACAGAGATCCAAAAGAAGACTCCTTCCCACTCTTATGGAGGATACTTCTAAGCAGTAGGAAAAACCACATGATCCTTGGGATGCTGATAAAACCCTAAGTGGTTCAGAAGCTAATCTTAAAAATAACAAATAATGTTTTCAGTTTAAAGTGTACTATGTGTAGAGATGACAGTCCATAAAAAACTGTAATGCACTGAAAAGGCACCAAGCATGTCAAAGTTCAAGGAGTGTCTGGATGATGCTGTTGTTCATATGATTTAGTTTCAGGTTGTCCTGTGAAGAGCAGGAAGTTGGACTCCATGATCCTTATGGGTCTCTTCCAACTTGAGATAGTCTCTGATTCTATGATAAAATAAATTAATCCTTATTTTAACATCAATGCTGAGGCAAACTATCCAGGAATGTGAAAGAGACTAAAATACTCAAGTTCACTGAAGTGGACCATGTACTGTTATGTTCACCTGCCTCAGAAACAGAGTTAGGAGACAGTAAGAGTTTGTAAGAGCAATGCAGGTAAGAAGTTTGTTTTCATATACATTCCCCCTTTTCACAGCAGCATCCCAAATATCACCTCACAAGCATAAGATGGATAAAGGCACTTGAGACCAAAATATATAAATCCTCTTCCAAGGATGATTCTCTCAAAGCTAGATGGGAAACTAATAGATTATAAGATTACAAAAACAAATGCTCAAATTTCTCATGATCACTTGACATTGCCTGAGAAACTAAAGAGAAAAAGCATACAATTTCACTGGCAGCTTTCCTGGCCTTGGTGCCTTCAGAGAGCCACTGAATGTCTGTCAAAATGTAGGAGGTTCAGTGCCATCAAGAGGTAGTAAGAGATCTGGACACTTGCAGTGGAATTTCAGTGATGTTTTTAATCTGGCCCCTGTCACCGATTGCTGAGATCCATGGGCCTCTTGCATGTTTCCAAGTCCTACATGGTATGTGATTCTGTGCCACATTTTGGTTACAGCATCAACCATGCTCAAGCACAAGAACCACAGTTTTCCTCTAGTAAAAGCAGACGTGGTGCTGGATTGCTAGTAGTGCTGGGAGGGGCTGCACTTTGGCAGGAAACACTAGAAGTAGGGAATTGCAGCACACAGCTAGGACAGAACTGGAAATCTCCTTGCAGAAAGGTCTTTCTGACAACTGACACGGTAACTCCAACGGGGTCTTCCTGTCCAGCTTCTCTGCTGGTGAGCTTTTGGATTGGGAACTAAAGAGCAACTTCCCTACAAGTGTCCGAAGCTTCTGGATCCAAGTTTGATCCCTGATTTTTCCAGAAGGTTAATCTGCAGCTTGGCTATGCTACTTGTTTACTCTTGTGAAACAAAAGGACTTGCAGTGAGAGAATTTTCTATAGATAAATCATTCAGGCCATAAAAATGTCCTGTTTGCTGGGACAACCCTGTTACAAAATAAAAGTGTTTAAACATCTGTGGCTCGCAAGACAAATATTCTTTAGTTCATGAATATACCCTTCTCTCAAAAATGTTAAAAGGTCACCACTGGACAATAAGGAAACAACACAATCTCCAGGAACTGGCATTTAAGAGTTCTTTGCGTTTCACAGCAGGACAAGTGAGAAGAACGGAAGAGCAGCTTTGCCTTTTGTGTCCTGTGTACAAATCAACGTTCATACACATCATACCACTGGCCTTGAGGAGCCGGTGCTAAGTTAGCCCTGCTCTGAGGTAGAGGTCAGAGCACAGGACCTGCAGTGCTCTCTCTCAGCCTGTATTGCTCTACGACACCATCTCAATACAGCCTGCTGTAATGTATAAATGCACAGAACGTATAAACTGGGGCCAGTAAATACTATAATATAGTACATTTCCTGAAATGTCAGGCTTAACAGGGCCCCAGGGATTAACAGTAAATGAGGGCAGGCCAGGGAGAGAAAAGTGCAACGGATCCAGCCCCAGCAGTGGAGCAGCTGCCAAACAGCTCCCCTGGAGTCTGCGTTCCCTCCTCACACAGGCTTTGTCTTTGCCTTTCCCATGTCTGCCGCAGTAGTTGCCTCTATAATTAAATTCAATTAATTACCAGCTTCTCAAGTTCAGGAACTATTTTACCTTACTCAAATAGTTTATTTAAAAATATATATATAATATTCTCCAATTCAGAAAAGGATAGAACTTCCCACAATGTAACATTTTTTTATATATATATATAAAATATTTATGCATTCAGTGAACGGAAACAGTTTTACTGTATACATTTTTAATGTTGTTCTCTATGCATATCTGCATTACCTAAAAATATACCGTACTTCTGTAAATCAAAACAAGCAGGGAAAAAACACTGTAGCTGTGCGCTGGGTTAGAATACCTAATAAAAAATGATATGAACGTTTTAGCTTCGATTTTAAGAACTCACAAACAACATTTTACTTTGTGAGTGCATAAATAGAAGACTGAATACATTCTGGCTCTGTTAAGCTGAACTGTAGTAGAGGTTACAAAATGTAAATATATTTTTTAATTTTCAGTATTTCAGTGTTTCCAAGTTCACTTTTCATGATAGTGTTAAATAAATCATGGTCCTATCCTTCCAAACATTTCAACACTCTTTAAAAAACAAAAACAAAAACAAATTTAAAGTGAAATGTCCTCCTTCATTGAAGTGTTAGATCATATTTTAAATTACTGCACTCCCACACAATATTTTATATATATATATATTTTAAATATATATATATATTTATATATATATAAAGAGACCAAATAGGAGACTATATTTTTTACTGTCAATATGTTTAACATCGCATACTGTAGTTGTATAAAACATGCATTTTCTGGGATAATTATGAACACATCATGAATGAGCCCACATAAATTATATTTTTGTACAACTCCAAGTTAAAAAAAAGAAGTCAGATTAAGTGCCTCTGAGGCCCTTTCTTCCCAGCTATCAGTTCTCAAAACACACTACTGAAATATTTATCTATGCCTACAGCTATGTGCTAGAGAACCAGATTAAAACTTTAAAATACATCTACAGTATGTTTTACTTTTCTTAAAGTTTGTGACAGTCCTTGGATATTGTGTTGTGAAATGTAAAAATAGTCACAGATTCTTTTTCTTTCCAGAAATAAAAAAAAAAAACACATCTAGGAGAGTATGCAAAAACAAGGCAAAATGAAGTTTCATAGCACTTAATGAGGGTTAATATAAGTCAATAACTAGCATTGAGGTTCGTAAAAAGGGCTGGATGAGCAGTTACATGTACAAGCAAATGGTCTGGTAATTCCAATGCTCTCCGACATTGTTTCTGTAACCAACACTTCTCCACCCTTAAAACCAGTCAATATACATTCAAAATAGGCTGACACTGATATACTTACTAGGTGTAAAAATAGTGCACTATTTTTTCTGCCACAAAGCAAAATTGCATTCTAAGAGCCGGTAAACTTTCTTTTTCCTTAAATAGAAAGAATGGGCAAAAAAAAATTGAAAAAAGTTTAAATTAAGGCAATTAGACAGGTAAAACAGGACTGCCCATGATGACGTATAGCTGAAATTAGTACATACTTCAAACCTATACTAGCTGCTGAACACTGACATGCAGCTTCTGATAGACGTGTATGAATGATATAAACTTCAACAGTATGGCTTTATACAAGTGCATAGTTGCAACTGCAATAAGTAACGGTATCTGATTAATAAGCATAAAAAAATAAAGTGGAAAGATTTTTAAAACCCTCTTGCAGTATTACAGTACAATATATATACACAGTATAATGGTCACTTCTTACAGATGCAGTCTATATCACTATGGTGGATCTTCCTCCGGTTCTACTTGCAGACGTGCTGGTGGCATCTTTACAAAAGCTGAGAAGTCAGTTTCTTCCATTTTAATATTCATTCCTCTTGATCCTTTAATGAAATGTAGTGTATGTGTCTTGCTTTTGTGGAACAGAGTTTAAAAGGTTACCTAACATATCCTTTTACTATTTGCCAACCATTCCTCAATTGATCAGTCACTTGGGAGAATACAGGAAAACCCTCAGAGATTAGTAATTTATATTGCAGCAAAAATGTAAACCTCTGATATATATAGCACAATCTCTCAGGAAAATATATATTTTTAATATATTTTGGGATATGTTTCAGTCTTGCTGTAATGGGAAGAAAATTATCACCTTGAACTGTGTCTACATTCACAGAAAGCAGTTAGCTGAAAAAGAAGAAGGAAGGTTGGTCAGTAAATGCAACAAATGTAAATCTGACAAAAACATACTTCTTCAAAGTCTTAATTTAAGATGGGCTCATCATCATACTTGGGAGAAATGCATCCAACAGCATTGTTACTTAAGGACAGCACATCCTTAGGCATTATGATCCCAAATCAGTTAAAACCCCCTTATAATATAGGAGGGTACAATATGCACAAGGTAATAGTCACTTCTAAAAGATTAGTGACTTGTAAGCTTTTAGTACATAAAGATGCAGTACATTTAATTAACGTAATGCTTGTTACTGTGAACGCTAAGCTGGTTAATTCCACAGGAGCTGGTGTCTCAGTTCCCTGAGCACAGCTGAGGTGCAGCCCCAGTGCTGCTGCCATCGCCCCTTCTTTTATACAGCTGAGACAAACCTCACATACTGTTTGAAAGAATTCTTAGGCATTTAACATTCAGAGGTTTTTTTCTGTGTAAATGAAAGATTGCATCAACATATAAAATGATTAAACTGAGATCTATAACATAGGTAACACTATTTCCAGTACATTCACAATTAAGCCGTGGGACAAATTAAATCACTGCAATGGCCGGATCTTTCCTAAAGCAGTCAAGGAAACCACATCACAGAAGCTGCAAAGCCCGTTTGTTTACATAATTTTCAAATGCATGGTTAGGTACCCAGAAAGCACAGCACTGCAAAGGAAAGCCAAGTCAAATTCACTTCAGAACACAAGGTAGAAAAGAAAAATGCAGAACTCCAGTGATTTCATGTCTGCTAGCCATAGTCAGTTTATATTAAAAGTTTAAAAATGAAAAGTATTTGTAAATGCTAAGTCTATTTCAGCTAAACATCCAGCTGCTACTATCTTCCTTTTATCCTTCAAATACTCTCTGCTGAGGTTAAAAGTATTAGCATTATAGATGAGCAATGACTGACAACAGCAGGGGTTTTTTTCAGGCAGGCAGACATGAATTTGGAAAAAAAAAAGATCTAAAATTAGAAAAATGAAAACACTGACAAAGGCAACAACTTGTTCTAATGAAAATTACTCCTCTAAAAGTTCAACATCAGGAACAGAATCTCATTTTCACTGTTTAAAATATTAAAATGAGATCTTGTATTTTCTCTGCTTTGAGAAACAAAATCCAACATAGCATGCTGTATTCAAAGGCAAACAAATCCATTCCTCTCTATTTAGATTTACCCCTTATACTTCTTCAGAAATCAAAAACATCGTCATCATCATCACCATCAATATCATCAACATCATCAAATGACCAATCCCAGTCCTTAAATGCCAGATCAAGTAATCTGCAACAGGAGGGTTTGATGTTTAATGAGTGTCACACTTCTATAAAAGTCTTCCAAATTCCTTTTGTTATCATTAAACCTTTTTAACTAAAAGACTATTTTAGGTAGATGGGTTTGTTCCTTTGTCTATCATGGAATATCAAGATTCAGTGTTCATGTAAGCTAGGAATATTGTACTCATTGAAAATTCATCTCAAAAATCACTTAATTCAATATAGAACACTTACCATATTGATTTTTTTCCAAAAAAAATTTCAGTAGGAAAGACCAACAAGTACATTTTATAAAATTAGCTGTTTTTTGTTTTGCTGCTGTTCTTGTTGACTCAGGTGGTTTTATGCTCTCCTTTTATCCCTTTCCAGACAACAATGCAAAGCTAACAATTTTTCCAAGAAATTCAAATAATTTTGATTGCTGAACAGAACAATGAATAAGAAACCTTCCTCTAAACATACAAAATACAGCATTATTTTACTGCATCCCAAATACAGCGTGATTACACTATACAGCTATTCTGTAGCTCATGGCTTAAATCTAAGCAATGCCAAAAAAGAGGATATATCAATTTGTTCTCTGGGCCTCGCTGTCTGTGCTCCTTCTATGGTCACTATAGAACAAAGAAAGCAAGCAAGGCAAACTCTGTCAGCAAATGAGTCATTTTACTTTTTTAAGACATTTGTTTTGGGATGGAGTGAATCATTGTCTAGAAGCATTCATCTCATTCTGTAGTTATTGAAGGATCTTAGACAAATATCTTAAGTAGTAACTTCTCAACTGCTATAGCTACAAGAAATGAAACCCAGTCTAGTCGTCTCTTCAGTGAGCTCAAAGGACTTTTAATCAGGATTATATGCCAAGCATAGGAGGCAGACATAGAAACCTTACTCTAACAGAGCATCAGTGTAAACAGACTACACTGCTTAATATAGTTAATCACATGCTCTAAACAAAATGGGTTTCAGGAGGATTTGCATTTTTAGGTTTTAAGGTTTTAAACTATTTAAACCTTTAAATGTGATATAGCCCTGAAAAGGCTCAATATTAATTTGTTATATAAACTACAGCTAAAATACTTGTATAATTAGGAATTAAAATATATTAAAGTTGATTTTTTTTTCAATTTGAAATTATTCTTTTGGCATGATCGAACAGACAGCTAAACAGAAATTATATGGTCTGTAGGAAAATCTGGTTTGCCCTTTCTTAAATCATCACAAAGAACAACAGTCATGAAAACCTTGGAGAAACAATCACTGTGTGAAATTCCTAGGAGGGACAGCATTTTTAGGACCATGCAGCTTGGAAGGAAGCTCATGAAGTTTCTAGCCCAACCTCCTCCAAAGCAGGAGGCCAGCCAAGGCCAGCCAAGGCCAGCCTGGGATGCTCAAGGCCTTGTCCTCTCAGGTCTTGGAAGCCTCCAGGGATGAAGCCTGTCCAACCTCACCAGCCTGCCTCCCTGCATTGGCTTTTCCTTCTATCCAGCTGGAAAGTCTCCTGGTTCAAGTGAGCCCCTCGTTTCTCACCCTCCCACCATGCAGCACTGCAGAGCCTGGCTCCATCTCTTGGATACCCTCCCCACAGGCCAGGGCAGGCTGCTATGACAGTCCCTGGAGATGTCCTTCGTCCGGGTTGAACAAGCCCACCTCCCTCAGGCATCTGCCCTGACCATCCTGGTGGCCTCTGCTTGGTCCTTCCCCGGTGTGTCATTGTCTAGCTGGAATTTCAGGGCTCAGACACAGAGGCGCTATCTTGCAGCAGACTATGGAGTGAACAGAGGCAGATAACCTCTTCCTTTAATCATCTGGCTGTGCTCCTTTTGGTGTGGTCCCAGAGCCTGCCCTGCTGCCAGGACCCACTGCTTGTCCCCAGCCACTCAGTCCCCATCTTCATTCTTAATAAGTTCATAAAGGAAAATTAATTATTCCATATGGTAAGCCCTTCCACAAAAGCCTCATAGAAGCACCAGTCAGATATAAATTGGCCATAGCCATTACAGTAATTTATGAGTATGTGGTTTCTTAATTAAAGGTGTTTAAATCCATACAAATTTCCACTGGTTTGACAGGCCTGCATTAGTAAGGTGATAGGTGACATGACCTCAGAGAGCTAGCTACACTTTTCATCTGTTAGGTACATTTGCAAAGCTAACTTGGAAACTTTAACTGAAAAAGTAAAATGGTTTACATACAAAAATATTCATCCTCCCCCTTTTTCCACCAGTATAGAATGGTAAATACTGTGTTATTTTGTACAAAAGGTCATGAAGATTGAAAAAAGGATGTTGGAAGGAGAAAAATTATTTTCAGAACATCTAAGAATAGCTATTGAAAAAGAATCAGAATTTATAATATACCTTTACATATTAACAGTAAGAAACAGAATAATGCTACTAAATTAGACTGTAAACACCATGCAGAAGAAAAGCATTCTGCTCGTCCTCCAAGTTGTCATGAATGTTTCCTTGATTCGTGCTTCAATCCTATCATTGATATTTTTGTTAGTTTTGCACAAAGAAACTCTTCAATAATGGGTCCCTAAAAAGTGATTAAAACCCTTTTTCCTTCATGATTATAATAAAAAAAAATCTATTAATTTAAAATCCAAATTATGAGGTCTGACTCTCTTTTAAATATGTAAATTAAATCACCAAAAATTAGACTGCATGAAAATTAGGAGGGAAGTGAAATTAAGTTAATTCAAGTCCTTTCACTATGCATTTCCACCCATTAAAATACCAATATTTGTTTAAGATGTAACTCTTCACAGCACAAGGATGTTTTGGAGTAACAGCAGCATCACAGCAAGCACTTCCCTGCATTCCCTCCTGTAACTCTGTCAACTCAACCAACCCTGTTCTCACCCAGCCAGCTGAGATACTGGTGCCAGTCTGGTCACAGACATAAGGACAGCAATCCTGTCCAGCCACTGCCAAATTACCTCTCCGGAGAAAAATGTTAAGCCTTTGCTGAACTGTCCATTACTGCTGGAATACTGTAACAAACAACACAAGTCAGGCCAACCTTTTCACAGGCTGCCAGCAACTGGGGACTGATAGAAGCACAATATTAGCTAGTGCTGCAGGTCATGAAAAAGGTACACTGGAAGAAAACCAGAAACTCTGTACTGTGCAATCACATAAATGCTACCTGCAGAGTGCTATCACTTTTAGGAATCATGAGACATGAGCATGAGTTCTTCTAGGCTGAATAAGGAATTGAAACCAAATTCTCTCACCCTTTGGGTAAATGACTTGACCAAATAGTGACCCTCTGCCTCCCATCTTCCTGCTCTCTTTCAAAAAGCACAAGTGATCCTCAGACAGGTGCCTGCCACTACAGCAAGAGGCTCTACACTGTGGAACCCGTGGAGGCAGAGACACAGAAGGAAGATTCGCTGTATCAGCTGTGTGCTCCTTTTGTACACTAGGACAAGAACCCTGACAAAACTCTTCCTAAATGGAGTCAGACACGGAAATACATACATTTGGTCAGATGAAACACACATAAACATACAAATCCCCAGTCAACTGTCTAACTTTAGAGCAGGGCAGGAATTTAAACACATGCCTCAAAACCGAGCAATAAGAAATGAAATACAGGTAGGCTTTTTTGTGACGTGTAAGGCCTTCTAGTCTGCTTTTTGAAGGCACCTAATTCTCTCCAAGGTTCATCAGAACCACAAACACCTAACATCATTGCTCAGCTTCAAATCGGGTACTGTAGTGGTCACATCAAAAATTTTAAAAAATTTTTTTTTTTTTTTTAAGTCTTCACACCCCTTCTCACTGACTCTTTGCCTGGTTAAACACCATTTTCCCTATCAGTTCACAGGAAGTATTAGGCCACAGATGATGGTACAAGTTCTGCCTGTTACATGTAAGAGCCATTATCAGTATGGTAGAGTTAACTAACACACAGTGCAAGGTCCTTTAAACAAGGGAACGAACATGGTGGCTCTTCTAGTGGACCTTTTTGTAACTTAACTGAGGTTTATAGAAGATTACATGCTAGATCATACGTCACTAGCCAACAACATTTGTGGTCAATTATTCTTATCAACTTATATGACATTAATTGTAGTAAAACGTTTAAAGCAATAACTTAAATAGCAGGCCTTGTGTCACCTTGGTTTGTTTGGAGGAAGCTGTCGACTTGGTCGTCTGATGGACTGGTTTGGCTGTACCTTCATGGAAGTTCTGGGAGAAGATCGAGCAAAGGGGTCTGGTGCTGGAGGCTTCTTGGGTATTTTTTTCACCAGTCGGCTCACCCATTTTTGCTGTTCTTCCGTAGAATTAGCTAACAGTAGTAGATTCTTTGCCGTAGAAATATCATAGTACACTGTAATAATAATTTTTAAAATAAAAATGAATACTGTTATTATTCTAAAGACGTCCCAACATTAGTTGTCAGATTATGGTACTCTCAAAGTCAACACAGTGAAATCAAAAGAAAATGGACCAGATTTTGCCAAATTAAGTTTCCTGGCTGCTGGTAGTGCTTCCTCCTTATATTTAGAGAGTAACAATTTAGTACTATGGAAGAGTGTGTGCCTGAGCCCAAAAAATTATATAACATTGAGTCACAACGCATAACCTTCACCAAATGTCATCTCTTCCGTAACACCCACTAACACAAAGAGCACAACACACAGTGTGAGCAGCCTTACAAGCACCCTGCTTTACTGCATGAGGTTGCCAACACAACAGGTATCATGGTCACATGCCATTAACTCACAGCAGTGAGTGACTCTCACAGAGACACCCTTGGAAAGCTGCTGATGGCTACTTATTAATAAAAGAAAAACTGACCTGTTTACATTTAGTTGGTGTCAGACCATTACTAGAGTCCTCTGACCTATCAGAATGCCTTGTGACTCCAGCACCATATGCATATTCAAATACTTGCTATTTACCTTTGCAAGGCGCTATAATCTCTTCTTTTTTATCCATGTGGTCTTTGTGACATTTGATGTGGCAGCGGCGACATTCCAGAGCAGGAGGAGGTTTAAACATATGCCACAGTGGCTTCATACAAGCTTCACAATTGGTTGGAAAGTGGTAAAGAGTAGGTATAAACTCATGTCCTTTGTGACAAATGTAATTTGACTTCTCTCCCATGGGTTCCACAGGAAATTCCTGTTCCTTTTTGCTCTCTCCTTCATTAGCATATAGAATCTAGAATCAAAGCAAAATAATCTCAGTACTCCTAGATGGCAAATGTAAATTCAGAGTAATTATCTAAGTAGAAAGATTGAAGAATTACAACAGAAGTGAATTTTCAATAATTTTTTAGTAAATATTTCATTAGACAATATTTTTGACAATGTGTGAAATACCATGTCTGTTACACTAGAAACATTAATTTATTAATGAATACCTGGAATATCCTTGGAATCTCCTTGGAATCTGCTCTGTACACATCAGTCTGAGTGACTGGTCGGACATGGAAGAGTTTGCTATAGGAAATTATTTCAGTAAGGACAAAAATGAATGTTACCAAACTAATAAATTTAAGTTGACAGATTATTCAGGATACACATTAAGACTTAGAGCCATTAAAGATTTGTCAGTACAAATTTCTCATCACTTGGTCCAGTCCTGTCTTTCAACCCCACACATGAACTCCCAAAACCCTAAATAAAAAGAATTCACAAGAATCCAGCTATATTTGCAAAAAAAATAACAGCACTGATAAATAAAACCACCATCATGTGACTTTAATGATTGCTGGCAGCTTTCTAACATAATCCTCTCCCTGCGCTCCAACCTCTGAATACACACATTCTGCATTTATTAAGAAAATTAATTAACTATACAACCCACCTGTAAGGACATGTTGTAAGAGAAAATATAGAACACTGAAAATTATAGCCTCTCTGCTACAGTTCTCTAATCATGTTTTGCTCCCATGTGTATGTGAGGAAGGTCTAGCTGAGCTCGTGGGAGCAGTGCAGTTACATCAGGCTCAGTGGAGTTCCCTGGATCAGTCTGAGCACCATGCTACTGCTGCTGCTGCACCAGCAAATCCAACTCTTTCCCACAGTGGGTACCCTAAGGGCCCAGCTCTGTAGTTCAAATTAAAAAAAAAAAAATGCCCCATGCGACATTGTGATCCCAGACTGGACCTCAAAAGGCCTTTGGTCACAATCATTTCAACAAAATTCACCTGCAAATCAGAAGAAAGAATCACACATGGCAGTACTTACTCTATATCCAATACCATATAGGGATTAGATTGTTCTTTATCTTGTTCGCTGTCATAGAACAGGATCTTCTTACTGCTTACAATTACATACTGTTAGGAGACAGAAAATTATAAAATACATGTTTTAATCCAGCTCATCACAGAGGTCAGAGATGTCACAGCAATTACCACAGATGCTGCATTGATATTTTTCTATGATTTTATTAAATGGTACCTAAATAAACAATAACAGTACTGTATGCTAAGTCCATGATATGCCAAGAAATTCACTGCACAACAAACAAAATCCTGATTACTGGATAAACCAATATATGTTATCAGACTAATTGATACCTAAACAGATTTAAGTATCTGTGAAGAGACAAATCTAAAGTCTGGAAGAAAGATAAAAGCTTTTCCTTTCTATTTTATTGATTTAATTTTTACTTGAACTGGTAGAGTCAGTGTCATCTTATGATGATTGTGTGCAGGTCACAACTAATAGAGATCATACCTAAAAACATCACTATTATACTTACCAGAACAGCCAGCAATATTCATTAAAAACCTAATTACCTAGAAGATGCCCTATTTCTAGGATTTTGGCTAGAATTAACAGTATGACTGAGCAGTAAGCAAACTGGTATGAAAATGTGTATGTTACATTTTGGACAAAGACCCATCAAAGACGTTACTGAGAAGCAGTAAACAAGTGAAGGCTGCACAAGGCAGATAAGTAGTTGCTAGTTTTATCTCCTAAATAAAGAAACTGTCAAAGGCATCTGCTTCCAGACTCTGCTGAATTTCAGCTATGAAATACTGTTGGAAATGCTTACAGCTGCATGTATAAAAGTTTGGACACCATGAATGATTGTTCTCACCTCTGGCTGGACAAAGAAGTGTCTTAACATATTAAAATTGTCCTAAGCTGCTCCCCTCAGAGGTAGCTATCCCAGCTAACATATTTTATACATTTAAGTAATGAGAGAACACATATAAAATAAAAATTGAAGTGTTGAAAATCTGCATTCATATTAAAATCCAGACTACGCATGAAACAAGACCAGAAATCTGGGGTTTTTACCTTTTTAACCCATCCAAATTTTTTAGTGTTATTTCTAACAGGCAGTGATAGCCAGCCTTCCAATCTTGATTCTGAAATAGATATATATATTAAAGAACATAAATATTCACAAAACATCATTTTTGAGACTACTGTGCATTTTAAAATAGTTATCAAAGATCAATAATAAAGCAACAGAGCAAACATAAGACCTATTTAACAGTACAAGGTCTTGCAAGGTTTAGCACAGTAAATGTTCAGGAATGCATTAAATAATCTTTAATGAATAAAGCCAATAACCAGCAATGCAATCACAAAAAAGTAGTAAGCACGAGGAGGAAGGGAAAGAGCAAACTTGCAATTGTAGCACACACATTCCCTTTAGTAATTTTTTCAAGTTGTAAAAGCCTTACGTCTATCAACCTTTACCTTTTACAACAGCATCTAAAGGTATTAGTACAGACCACAGAACATCCAGTTCAAGACAAAAAATGCCAAATTACCACCACAAATAACCCATATGCCAGGGAAAATGTCAGTTTAGTATTCAAATTCATACTTTTTGGTCTGAAAATTTTTCTTTTCTCTAATTCTGCCTGTATCTCCTAGGCTTTCTAATCCAAAATAAGTAATTTTTGGTTAATCCTTAGGCCTTGCCTGAATTCAACTGCCCTTTCACACACTTGCAATATTTTATATTACACTGGCACATTAGTCAGATTTGATTTATCAACAGTATTAAGTGCTCAGCTGTTGCTTGACACACACATTTACAGTAGTAACTATAGTACTGATCACACTTTCTCAGTGGTGGGTGATACACCGGATCACATAGCCTTTGACCCTATTTTTATAGCTGCAGTTAACACAAGCACTTCTTTCCCTTCTGTTTTATTAGGAGCAACTACTCAATTGGAATAATATTTTTCCAAAGAGTTTTCTACCCTAGCAGATAACCTGTACTGCTGAGGAATCTCCAAGTCAAAAATAATGAAGCCTTAAGCAATAACAAACACAAAACCATGGAAGGAGCAAAAACATGCTCCAAAATTGCAAATGTTATTTTCTTTCTCACCAGAGGGCATTTGCAGGTTCCTGCCCATGTTTAATGTAGCATAACAAATAGTTATTAGATATTCATAGAATTGTTATTGTGCCTAGAGAGACTTGAAGCAAGGTTATGTATTCAGATACACAGTCTTCAACATGTATCGCTCTACCAGCATTGCTGTTGATAAACCATTTTAATGTATATACTGAGTACATGATGCAGTTCTATAAAATGTATTTTGCCTCATACCTGCCACTTACATTGTTCCTTTCAACTACACCTGATACAAAATGTAGCAAGCATAATGCTGATGAAAAAAAAATCCTACCCCACATCCAGGAACCATGTGTAGGGCAAAAAGTATGCATGCTTTTCTTATTTCCTAAAATATAATGTTTTTCCTATTTTTCTCTGTAATCTCTAATATCATTGCACGAAATTGGACAAAATGAGTTTCTGATTATAATTCTTCAATGATTACAGATCAGAGAAAGGACAGAATACTCAAAAATTTTCACAGCACATGCTTATAAAGCAATAGGAGGGAAAGAAACAACAAAACACAACGATCATACCTCATAATCAACGATCATAATTACAATGACCTGTTGTAATTATGTCAGCAAGAAGTCCTAGTTTAGATATGATTTCTACTTTAGAGCAAAAGAAATCCATGCACAAACCACGACAGCAGCTAACAAGAAAAAATTATGTATGTACATAACTTTTTTTTCATTAGAAGCCTCATAGTAAAAAACAGAGAATGAGGAAAATACATTAGTCTTTACTCTAGTTCAATGAAGTAATGTCGATATCCTAAAAGAAGTTTTGCCTTCAGTGGAAAGGTATTCACACTTTAAAGGAATCTCAAGTGACATACAGGAATTTGAATGCAACTAAAAAACCCACCTATGATATTAACAGTAAACAGAAGCTTTGTTCAAAAGAGTGTAGGTGCAGTCATATAAAATGAACATAGAATTAGTAGAACAGAGTTCTGTTTTACTGGAGTCTTATCAGTCATTATATACTTTATGTATCTGGGAAAATTAACAAATCTTGCTTGCCTTACCACAAAAGAATCAAATATAAGATTTAAATTAAGGCAAAACAATGTAATACTCAGAAGATTGAATTTCTACAAGAAGATCACAAATGTTTAGATGTGAGGAGTCAGATGTTTCCATACTTCACTTTAACACAGATTCGACTTTTTGGTATCCAGTACCTTAGGGCCATACAGATAGCTGCAGACACTAGAGAGATGCTACCTTGAAAACAAGGCCATAAGGCTCATTTATTCAATGCTTTAATAAAAATGGTAGTTTAAGACATGGCAGCAAGTATTTGCAAACGTTTAGAGAAAACAAGCCATTTATTTGTTTATGCAAACTTTCTTGTGTCTTTGATGGCAATGTTTACTGTCAGTTTAGTGTGTTAACTGCCAGATGTATGTTTCTTTGTTTTAATAATGCATTAAGAGTGTTAGTTTTGAAACAGAAAAAAGGACACAGTAAGAACAAAGCCAAACACTTCTCAGGCATGTCACCTGTGCTATCAACTTCTGTAGGACTGTGTGAACAAGACAAAGGTTCTTCCTCTGAGTCAGAATCAGAATCAAGAAGCATGCGAGAACTGGAAGGCTTAGTGGCAATACTGACAGAGGTGGAAGAGTGCTGATAGGTAAAGGACATGGATTCCATAGTGTGGGATTGAGTGATACGGACTAAACATAAAGCATAAAGGAGGCAAAGTAGAAAAGAAGTCAAAACAGAATCTCTGTGAAGAGAGTATTAGTTTTATATTTCATCACATAAACACAGTAACTGCAAAGGAACCACCACAAGTGAAAAAAATATTCAGCTCTAATGGTGTGCAATAGAATTTTTAAAAATAAATTTCAAGATGAAGTATGATTACAGACAGATTTAGTTAGTAGGTGGATAGTGATCCCTATCAAAGGATTGATAAGGTGGTATAAAACAGATGAAGATGAAAAGTCACAGAATCATCAGATCATCAGCTTCCATGGTAAAACATTGATATAAACCCAGTTAATGCAGAAATATTATTAAGATTAACATACCAGGGAATCCATCATCTGCCTCAGCATCTCCAGGCCCGCTGCCAATGCTGCTGTTGTCCAGCCCAATGTGCAGGGACTGCAGCTGGGAACGAAGCTGTTCAATGTCGCTGTCCTTGCTGTCCAGAGTCATCTGCAGTTCAATTCGGATCTGACTCTCTTCTGCAATTTGCTGTAGGGATAAATTACAAGATTTCCTATTATCCCAATATTTGGTTACTCAGATAAAATGTAAGTAGAAAATCACGCAGAATTTGTAGCCAATTGTACAATATTACAGAAAATGCTGCAATGTTTATATTTGCAAAAGGATCTTACTGCCTGCATTTCATTTATTTCCTTCTGATATTTGATCATCATTTGGGTTAACTTTTCTCGTTCAGACTTCAGTTCCATATGCAGCTTCCTATTTTCCTTTTCCTTCCGCCGTACATCAGTGTCAGATCCACGTTTGACTGGACCCTTCCGATTCATGATCTCAGCCAATTTATTCACAGCCTTTCCATGGTAAAGAAAAAAGAGACAAAAACCACACTAATAAATACACAGAGCTACATTGTGAAGAAATAGTCTTCTGTCTACAACCAGGCACTTCTAACTGTAAACTAACACCTCTGTGATCCAGTAATATAAACTTGCTTTAATTCCATGTATTACTTATAACTGAAAAGAAGGTAATGATGCCACGTTTACTTTAAGAAAGCATTAGCTGTGAACACTTCCACTCATCTCATTTAAATAATTCCCTCCATTTTCACTAGTTAGACCCAATATATATATTTGCATTAAAATGCCACTTGTTCTAAAAAACAATCTGGATTAAAATCAAAAATAAACTTCTTTATAGAACTTATAGAGGAATCAAGACTGAAATCAGTAAAATATCAAATAATTGGAGAGAAATGAAGACTTTTGCTGGTGAAATGCATCTGGATTAGAATTTTCCTCTATGATGAAACACAAGGATCCAGTTTCACTACAATGCAAGTCTACTTAGTAGAAGAGAGAAAAAAATCAGTATTTTTTTTTCAGGGCGAAAACGAATAAAGCATTAATGGTACATATAAATAGTTTACCATGGAAAGTTTTCTCTTATAAATTATTTAATTCATGAACACTATCTCTACATTTATTTAAACACATTTGCTTACCTGGGTTTTTAATGTTCTTTCAGTCAACAACTGTTTCTCAAATTGTGCTTTAATATTTCCTATATTTGCTTCTTCTTCTTTTAGTTTTGTAATTTCTGTAGCAAGGTAATTGAAAAAATTCTATGAAAAGTCATTACAAAAGAAAACAATACTACTAAAGAATAAAGCTGGTTTCAAATTAAAGTACATTTGGTTCACAGAATACATACGTTCTTGTACTTCCTTCAGTTTATTGTTTAGTTCTTCTTTCTCATTAGCAAGATTAGCCACATCACTGGTTAGTGTCCTATTTGCTTCCTCCAACTAGAAAAAGAAAAGAGGGGTAGGGGCACAGAAGAATGAATGGTCAGAAAGATGCATGAAGAAACATGACAAGATTTTTGAATTTCAATCATAAAAAATAAATATTTCAAAAATGTTAGATATATCTCTTGTATATCTCTGAGTATACTAAATAACAATGGATAACTCAAACTGCAAATAAAACTCAAGCTCTACAACCTCTACCAAAATTACAAATCATACAACTCACCGAAGCTATGGTGGCATCTTTCTCAGTAAGTTCCTGTTTATGCCTTGCCATCATCTCTTTAATCTCCAGCTCTTTCATAATCTTCTCTTTTTCCAAATCAGAGTACTGCTCTTCAGCAATGGAACGGGCAAGTTGTTCTGAATCTGCTTTTGTCAAAGTAATCTCTAGCTGAGCAGCCAAGGAATCTCTGCAAATTATTGATATATATTTTTAAATTGGGTAATGTAGGAGTGGGGGTAAGGGCAGGGAAGAAAACAACAAATAGCCATCCTAATCTTTTATGTATTAGTAGTACAACTAGCAAAACCTACCTCTCATCCTGTAACTCTTGTATCTTTTGCTGCATTTCTTTACAAATTTTGGTCTTTTCCTCACATTCTTCTTTAAGTTCTCGAACTTGTGTCTTATACAAAGTCTAGAATTTAAAGTTAGCAAGAAACTTATGTGATTTTCTGTATTCTTGAAAGTCCACAAAAATTATACAAGATGACATTGTATGCAATTCTTTAATCACACACTCTAATTAGAGTGTAACTGTGCAATACCTTCTCTAAACTTATCTAAATGTCATCATTCACAAATGTGTTTTGGTTATTTTACTTTTTGTTGTTCTTTGTTTATCTTGTATATTTGTGAACGGGTAGATGTATGATATACATTTTCTATGTTTGTAAACACACTGTTAAAGATACTCTAAATGTGAAAAATCAGTATTTGATAGAAAATTGGAAGTATCAGAAGCAAGGAAAATTAATTGATTTTTCTCTACTATTTTAAATCTTTGTCTGATGTAATTAAGTATGTGCTGTTTAGATTCTAATCATACAAATCCGTGAAACCCATGTGACAGTTAAAGAACAAAAAGAAATATAGGAGGAAGGGAAAAATAGATTAGAAAATAATTTGAAATTCAAAATTTCGTGAAATTGATACAAATCTAGAGCTCTAAAAAAATGAAAGACACATTATATTGCTCTGTCCACTCAAATGACTGAATACAGGTCAAGTGACAGACAGCTGTAAGTGGACTTACCGCAAAGATTTCAACACAGATTGTCTCTCTCTGGCCCATCTACAAAATTCTCCCTTTCTCTCCTTTAATGTGTGCAATGTTTTCATCTACTAAAACTTTAGATAGTCCTTCTCCTCACTGACCTGAATACCACAATGAAATTTTTAGTTTCCTTTAATTCTGAAACAAGCCTTTTGGCATCTCCTGCAGTGCAACTGGCTGTGCACTGTTAATAAAAATTAACCTCCACAAGCTAGTGATGATTTTTAAGTACAATATCTATTTATTCTGTTGCATGTTACCACTCCTAAGAGACCTCTACCAAGTTTGACTGTAATGCAAAAATTTCCTTCCAAGCCTTAATGTCACGTTTTGTCACACCACGTGAGAATACAACTCTTCTCTACCATGCAGCATGGAAGAGATACTGAATGCAAAAGGTTGGAAACATGCAGAAAATTATTCACGCTGTGGAAAAGTGAGCTGCTTGCCCCCTCCCTCCCTCTGAACTCCCTTACAAACCTGGGACATTTTTTAACCTGAGCTCTTTTATATGCTCAGTGATCAAGATCAAGGCTGCAGACAACACTGAAGACAGGCACAAGAAAAACAAGTAGCTTTGGTTAGAGATGTGAAACAGCTGATGGCTAAGGAGGAAGAAGAAAAGATAACATTTACTCAGTAAAGAGATTAGTAAAAAAATAAAGCAGCACAAAACATACCGAGAAATACTGTTCAGCTTCGAGTTGGTCTTGAAGCTCTTTCATTTGTCCATCTGCATCTTGACGTTCCCTAGAAAGGAATAACATGCTTTAAAGATATCAAGACATTCCCGACCAGTAAATTAAAAAAGACGGCATTCATACTCTTGAGATCTTCAGTGATTTCCTGACCAAAGTATGGTCAGCAATTAAACCTGAAGCTTCCTCTGGGCTCCAGATCTCTTTTTCACTTGTATAGCTGAGCCCACTACACTAATAACATGCTAGTTTAATATTGTTAACATGTTAACTACAACAGTGTCACACAGTTTAACCAGTAAGAGACACCAATAAAGTAAACAGCCACCAACAGAATCTTATTTCCATGTAAAACATCTCTGATCTGACCAGTTGTTTTGGGCCTCTTGTTTGCAAGAGCAGAGTCTGTGAAAACATGTCTGTATTCCTTAACACAGATAATTTCTTGAATTCATCTGTTATTAAAACAAAAGTCAGTCCCATAACAAAAGAAATGTAGCAGAAAAGACTTCTGCCAGTGTTTCACATTGTGGTCACCTTCTATGTGACTAACTGCATCTTGTTGACAGAAAAGGCAAAGCACCAGGAGATAAACCATCAGAAGTCATAAAGGAGCTGAGATTCATCTGATATGTGTGCTAAACTTGTATTTTCATTCACAAGAAAGTTCTTTATGTAAAAAAAATATTATTTACTTATTTATTATCAGGTGCAAATACTACTTGTAAGACCTTGAAGAACTGTTGGGATGTAACACAATTCCTAAATGAAGGTCCAACAGATGTGTTTAAACATCTGTAGTATTAGATATTTCCAATAGTTATGCTTTCCAGCAGTTATGCTTTCCAGCTCTGTAGCAGTATTCATTTCCGACTCTAATAAGCTCTCCTAGACTAATAATTCCAGTAACTTTCCTCTTCACTGAAGTTCTACATCATTAAAGAGAAAGTATCTAGACTTTCAGTTAAATTAAGTATTTCTCTTGAGTCCTCAGACTCATGTTTACGCTGAGTTTTTTAAGGTTTTCAGGATAACAAACACCTTTGAATACAAACCCATACACTGCTGAATCACTAGGGTAAGTCTCAACTAGTCACTGTAAATTATTTTAAAGAACCTTAAAGTTTACCACTGTACAATAGCATATTCTTTGCAGCAAATTTTTTCAATTAATATTGCCCTCAACTTTTGTCACAAAAATATTACAAATCAGTAACATGACTAAAAATATGGAGCAACTTGCATACTTGCGGAGTTCATTGTTTTGTTTTTCCAGACTTAATTTGATTTCCTGAAGATGGTTATTCTCCTGTTTTAACTGTTTCTCTGACATTTTCAAGGTGTTGACCTGCTGCGTTTGCATCTTGAGGTCATTTTGAGTGAGACAGCGCTTTTGTGTTTCTTGCTCTATTTTTAATGTCAAGTTTTTTACCTGAAAAAGATACAAACTCCTGTTAATTTTACAGACCTATACAGGAAAGCAACATTTAAACAGTCTGTTATTGGCTTCCTCTATATTTCTGTACAACATGTACTCACATCTCTTGGTAAATTGAAGTTGCTTCCTGAATAAAGGCATTAGCACACATTAAATTAGCTAGTTTTTCCATGTCAATCTCACAGAATTTTAAATGCCAGAATGAAAAACTTTTTAAGATGAGTAACGCTGAAATATTTCTGAAAAATGACACTAGACTCCATGAAGTAGACTTTTTAAAGCTCCAAAGACAGAGAAGGAAAACTGCTGCCATTTTAACTCACAAACATTACTAAATATAGCTATAACAGGAAAAGGATTAGAACATTGAAAATGAGGTTTGACTCAAGATGCTTTTTGTCAGTGTTCCTTACATCTTCATTTAGTATATCCTTTTGCATAAGGAGCTCATTGATTTTCTGTTGTGATTGTTTGAGATCACAGTCCAACATGGAGCGCTGCTTTTCAGCTTCCAACAACCGATTTTCTACTTTTTGCTTTAAAGCTCTCTCTTCCAAAAGTTTCTTCTCCATTTCTGTGAAGTAAAAAAATTTAAGACATAAGTCAGTGTAAAACAGCATATTTTGGAGGCCGAAGGGAGGAGGATGTTTAAGAAAAAGCCACATTTCTCCTTTTAAAACTGAAGAGGAAGACTGCTGAAAAGTGATTAATTAAAATTTTCATAGTAAAATCACGCCCAGAGGGTGCTTTTGCAAGCATTCCTGGCAGAGCTATTTCCTACTTTTGAGTTTCTAGATAACTTCCAGTTTACCTGCAACACTTTTGAGATGAAAAAAAGGGTGGAATTTTAAAAATAAACCATCTAAATCTACTGAATTGTTGCGCTATGATAATATAAAACCAATTAAAGAGCTGAAGCTGTTGCGGAATCTGATATGCCAAGTGACTCGGTCGTTATTACTGAATCACTTTTGCTTCTTTTGAAGATTTGCATGCTCAAAATTCTTGAGAATGCTCTGCAATTGAAAGGAGAGGCTCTATAGGTAGCTTTTCAATTAGCACAATAAACATAAGCCATTTCATTAAAAAGTAAGAGCCATCTTCTGGAATTTTTTGGTAACTATCCCTCTCTTCAAGATATTTCGGTTGTCTTGAGATGCACCAGAATATGCACAGTAAAAGCTTATATTATCTACTTTGTATAATTCACTCCTAAGTCCAACTGTGTCAAATACCTACCTTTCATGGCTTCAGATTTTGCTTCCTCTATAGATTCATAGATCTTGTTTTTGTCTGCTAATCGTGCTTTTGTGGCTTTATGTTCAGCTTCTTCTTGCTCAAGGTTCTGCTGCATAACTTTAAATTTATATGTCATATCTATTTCCATGTTGCTCTTTTCCTGTTAGAGAAAAAATAATATTGAAATAAAACATAAAATACATCAGGTTAGAGGCAAAATTTTGGATGACAATAACATGCTGCTTGGAAAGATGCAAAAAGTAGAAGAGAGAGCTCAGACTAAGGAGCTAACTGAGAACTTATTTCTAAAATGTTTCTTTGTGGATGGCAAAGTGCTCTAAAATGTACAACATCCCGAGGGGCAAACAATTACAGAATTACTGCCTTAACAACAACGTCCTGTAATAGGCTCAAAGATTAGGTTTATTGAAGAAATTTTTCAAGACTTTTGTTTCAATGACAAATTTGTTCAATATTAGCAGAAGCTCTTTGATTTTTGGCAACAAGGAGATTCTAAAAAAACCCAACACATGAAATGAAATGTTACTACTGCACTGTTAAGCTACCAGAGTACGTTATTATGTACTTTAGAAGTATAATGTCTTATGATCGTATAGGACATTATGTCTTTTCCCCCCACACTTTTCATATTGCAAAAACAATTAAAAAAAAAATAAATGCTGAAAACAAGGTTTACTCAACATCTCAAATAATAAAAGTACAAATTCAAAAATTCCGTAAGAATGTGACACCAATGTTCACTTAGAAGTGCTGTTACCTTTTCTAAATCTGTGAGCTTTTCCTGCAATTGTCTTTTCTCCATTTCCAGTTTGGCTAATGCACTCTTTCCACTTTTCACTTCTTCTTCAAGGCTAGATATTCGACCTAAAAATAACCAAGACATCAATGAGACTGGGCAGTGTGTGAAAACGAGACTGTACTTTATCTATTTAGAGATAACATTTTTCAAATGTTACAGCTTCTAATTCCGACTGTTAAGAATATCTCCCTTTGGGGTGATTTTAAAAGTTATCAATAATGTTTTATAAATGTTATCACACATTTTCTCTCAAATGTGTGTTCAAAATTGCATAACATTTTAGAGGACAGCACACTTATCTAGTCAGTCTGAAGCTCAAATAACACCACCCAAACCTACTTTTATTTTGGAAACAAGAAGCAATCTTAACATCAGAACATTTGCAGGAATACCTTGTAAATCACTGATAATCTCTGATCCATGACTTCGATCTCTCCTTTCTGATTCTAGAGCTGACTGAAGATTGAGATACTCCTTCTCCAGTTTGAGTTTCGCATTCTCTAGCAGGCAGTTCTTATCTTGTAGTTCTCTATTATTAGTTTCCAGCTGCTGGATTTGCTTTGTGCTTTCTGTCTGGTTCTTCCTTAACCTGGCTGCAGTATCAGACTCTGACCGCAGCAAAGAATTGGCTTCATCCAACTAAGATTGACAAATACATACTTCAGAAACAATTAAAATATAAAAACTACTATTTCTACTACAGCATACTAGGTTTTAGGGATTAAAGAAGTAAAAAGGAGTATACTTTAAGATTACTTTTGAACACCAAAACATAACAAAAAAAATCTTTAAAAACTCAATTAGAGATTTCAAATCCCTCCACTAATCCCAAAATCTGTACTTCAAACAGCTATTATTTTAAAATATACATATATAAAGTTGGCATACCTGTCTTTGTAGCTGATTGATTTTCTCATTAGATATTTGAGAGTTCTGATTCCTCTTTTTTAAATCTTCAAGCTGGTCTTTCAAACTGTTAACTATAAAAAAAACCCAATTCAACATTGTTAATCACTGTCATGAAAACACTTCAATTGGGACTATAATTCATTTATTTTAACTTTTAAAAACCCACATCAAAATGGAACCCTTCAAGCATGATTCAACATACCCTCATTTTCCAAATTGCGTTTCTTATCTGCTTCGTGTTCTGCTTTTCTCTGGTATTCTGTATTCTTATGCTGAAGAAGAGCCTTCTCTCTCTCTAACTGCCTGACTGCAGACTCTACATTCTTCCTTGAAGTAATCTGGATAGATTTAAAAAAAATACACCACTAATTACATACACAAGAGTGGTATTCTTATATGATAAAAACACAGCTCACACACTCAGTTTAGCCTGTAATGGAGAAAGCCAGTTTATTTGCCTGCTGCAAACACAGCGTATCAGAACACGTGATCAAATCTGGCCCAGGACGACTATGGCCAGGAGCTCTGCTATTTAAATACTGTTTGATCATTTGGATTTGACAAACCTGGTAGACCTGCCTAAGCAGTCACTCTGGGAGCACAGAAACACATGTGTAATGTAAGGCCTTGACATGCACCTGGATGAGCAATACATTAAGTTGCACACATCCACATCCAAGTTTGTAGAAGCACTAAGGTGCAAAGCTGGGCAAGAAATAGGGTCCTTTTACTAACACTGAACAATGCAAAGCATAGCCTTCCTCCTGTAGAAACACTACTCTCACACCTTCGATTTTTAAAATCTATAGGGGATATTTATATCATGCTGTTCTCCAGCTTAAAAACACAGTAAAAAACAAGTTATCAAAGAAATGTGTCATTATAGTACAGAAATCATAATGAAAATATTTTAGCAGTGACAACAATTTCATGCTTGTGAATACTAAGAAATCAACTAGTGTGACTTGCTATAAATACACAGCTACTCAAAAGTAATCTGCTGTTACCGAAGGAAAAAGCCATACACAAATGTTAAAGTTCTAATTCCAGTCAGAAATATCTGTGGACTTACCTCTTCATCGAGCTCTTTCAGTATCTTCTCTAAACGAGTACTTGTAGACCTGAACAAATTTGAAAAATACTTTTAAATCCTGCTGATAATACAGAAATTAGAGTGCTTGGATGTGTCTCATTAATTAGATATTCTATTTTCAGCAGTAACATGAAACTTCAGGGACAGGTGAAATCACTCTAATAACAGAGAGATTCTTCTAGAGAGGTAAGGCAAAAAACCCCAACAAAACCACCCCAGTAGTCACAGGAGCAGCAAGAATAGGCCGGCAAGTTACAGTGAGATCTGCTCACAGGGTTGGGAATCCCCAAAGTGAATTAAAATGCTCTTAAGTATCCAAAAACAGAAGGTCTAATAAAACTACTCTATAAACATACCAAACATGTCAAAACAGTCTTACCTGTACTTCTGTTCTAGTTCATCTTTGGCTTGCAATTCATTACTGAGCTGTTCTTCTAGCTTGCTTAGTTTTTTCTGAAACTGTGTAAAATATCAAAAAAGTATGGCCCACATATAAAAATGTTACCACATAAAACAAATGTAATTCAATTAAATAACAAAATAAGGGAAAGCAAGGAAAATTAATTCAATCTTCCACTATATTATTTTAAAACCATCACTAGAAGGTTACATCTTTACAAGGCATTAATTCAGATGATTTTAAAGATACAGATCCATAGCAACAAAAATTGCTGCATGCTGCATTAAATCAAACCATCACAGAATTATGTGCCACAGATTGTGAGTCATAAAATTTATATGGGGAAAGAATATTGTTACCGGCCCTTTGCTGTTCTCTGTAGCCAGAGACTGTCCACTGCAGCAGATTTTTTGGGATAGCCTTTTCTAAATGAAATGAAAAAATAAGAATTGTCCACATGACCAAAGTGGACAATATTCAGATGACTAAACATGTTCAGTGACCTTACCTGAAGAAGAATTTCTTAGTCTTACTCATTTGGAATCTAATGAACACTTTTCAGGTTTGGAAATGCTTTGTTTTCTCAGAATCAACTGGGTTGGAAGAGACCTCTGAGATCACTGAGTCCAACCTATGACCTAACACCACCATGTCAACTAGACCATGGCACTAACTGCAACATCCAGTCTTTCCTAAACACCTCCAGGGACAGTGACTCCACCACTTCCTGGGCAGCCCATTCCAATGCCCACTCACTCCTTCTGTGAAAAAACTCCTCCTAATGTCTAACCTAAACCTCCCCTTATGGAGCAGCTAAGACTGTGTCCTCTTGTCCTATTTCTGGTTGCCTGGGAGAAGAGGCCAATCCCCAACTGTCTACAATCTCCTTTCAGGGAGGCTCCCCTGAGCCTCCCCTTCTCCAGGCTGAATGACCCCAGCTTCCTCAGCCTCTCCTCATAGGACTTGTGCTCCAGACCCTTCGCCAGCCTTGTTGCTCTTCTCTGGACCTGCTCCAGCACCTCAATATCCTTCCTGAAATGAGAGGTCCAGACACAGGACTCGACGTGCGGCCTAACTAGTGCCAAGTATGAGGGAAGAATCACTTCCCTGGTCCTGTTGGCCACACTGTTCCTAATACAGGCCACGATGCCACTGGCCTTCTTGGCCACCTGGGCACACTGCTGGCTCATGTTCAGCCACTGTCAACCAACACCCCACCAGGTCCCTTTCTGCCTGGCTGCTCTCCAGCCACTCTGTGCCCAGCCTGTAGGGCTGCAGGGGGTTGTTGTGGACAAAGTGCAGGACCTGGCAGTTGGCACTTGTTGAACCCCATACCATTGGATTCAGCCCTTCTATCCAGCCTGCCCAGGTCCCTCTGCAGAGCCCTTCTACTCTCTAGCAGATCGACCCTGCTCTCCATCTTAGTGTCATCTGCAAATCTGGCTAATGGTAGACTCGATCCCCTCATCCAGATCATCAATAAAGATATTAAATAGAACTGGGCCCAACACTGATCCCTAGGAGACACCACTAGTGACCAGACACCATCTGGATGTAGCACCGTTCACCACCACTCTCTGGGCCCGGCCCTCCAGTCAATTCTTAACCCAGCAGAGACTGCCTCTGTCCAAGCTGTGGGCTGCCAGCTTTTTCAGGAGTATGCTATGGGAGATGGTGTCAAAGGCTTTGCTGAAGTCCAGGTAGACTACATGCACAGCCTTCCCCTCATCCACCAGGCAGATCACCTGGTCATAAAAAGGAGATCAGGTTGGTCAGGTAGGACCTGCCCCACCTAAACCCGTGCTGGCTGGGTCTGATCCCCCGGCCATCCTGTAGGTGCTGTGTGATAACACTCAAGATGATTGTTCCATAACCTTGCTGGGCAGTGATCCCAAGCTGACAGGCCTGCAGTTTCCCAGATCCTCCTTCCAGCCCTTCTTATGGATGGGCGTCACACTGGCCAACTTCCAGTTTTCTGGAACTTCCCCAGTGAGCCAGGACTGTTGATAAATGATGGAGAGCAGTTTGGCAAGCTCTTCCACCAGCTCCCTCATCAACCTAGGATGGATCCCATCTGGTCCCATAGACTTGTGAAGATCCAAGTGGCTCAGCAGGTCACTAACTGCTTCCTCCTAGACTACAGGGGGACTATTTGGCTCCTTGTCCCTGTCTACCTGCTCAGGAGGCCAGCTGTCCTAAGGACAACCTGTCTTATTGTTGAAAACTGAGGCAAAGAAGGTGTTAAGTACCTCAGCCTTTTCTGCATCCTTGGTAACTATGTTCTCCCCCATGTCCAGTAAAGAATGTAGGTTTTCTTTGCCCCTCCTTTTGCTATTAATGTATTTATAAAAACACTTTTTATTATCCTTACTTTAGTTTTGCTTAATAAAATATTTTTAAAAAAATGTGAGTCCAGTACCCTAATATTCATGAAATAAATTATAAATAATAAATTTTGGATTAATCTCATGACTTCAGGCTTTCACATGCATTTATTTTCCTCCCTTCCCCCTCTTCCTCTACCCTCCAAACATGAAATGTAAAAATGTGGTTTTCTAAAACGCTTTACAATTATTACAGTTAGAGGATTCCCAGAACAGGGACACTGAAAAAGACATCAAAACTGGAGATTCATCGCTTGAGAACATACAAATAAAAAAGTCGCCAGAAGTCAAATGCAAAATGTTACCATCTGCATTTACTATCACAACATAAAGCAAATGTCACGAATGTGACAATACGTATTTTGAACAGCAGGACCATTTCTTTTTAAAAGGGAAACTCTATTCATCTATTCAGCAGTGACAGGAAGGAAGTGGAGTGTAATAAACATTTGCATTTAAATTTAGCTGATCAATACAAAATGCATTTCCTTTATTTATTTTTTAAACTTTGAAAAGGAACTGTAAGTTTTAAGAAATGTTAACAATATACTATCTGCACTTGAATAATACAAATGTTTAAGTAACATAATGAAATAAGTAGATGAAAATTCTATAACATTTTCCTGTCATATGCATATTTAAATTCAATTGTCAATCTTCAAAAGCTGGATAAACATGCTCCATACACTCCAACTGGAGTATGATTTAAACATTCCTTTATCGCTGCAGGTGACAATTTATTTTTCCAAACTCTGAATAAATCAGTCATGAATCGCTTAGGCAACTGTGGAATCTTCCCAAGAGTGATGCTGTCTGTAGCAAACAGAGCTTTACGCACTGGATTTCCAAAAAATTCTAGATGCCAAAAGAATTTGAGAAAAACCTGTATTCATTCCCTTTTATACTACAGCACCTTAACACTTGAATACAACTGTTTCAAAATACAACTGGCTTACTGCTAACAATTTGGTGAATAAACATTTAAGATACATCACATCCACATAAAATTAGGTAGGAATTTTTCTATTCTTTTCATAATTCAAATAATATACTTACCTCCTTGCTGTCCTGTAAACAGAAAATATCATTTTTATTGAGGATCACTAAAAGATAAAAAGCCCCCCCCCAAAACTGCTTGAAAACTTATTTTAGGCTTTGTCTTTTCTTAACAGACTTAACAAAATTAGTTAAGCATACTGTTAATACTGAAGAAGAAAGGCACTAACCTCATTTTTACTAGATTGCACAGATTCATTTTCTCTGCAAGACTGAGAGGAGTCACTTAGCAACCTGTCAAAAACAAAAACAAATCCCTCCAGCTCTTATTCAAGTTTTCAACAACTCTGGCAATCTTGCCATTTTAATCAATTCTCTCAAGCCTTAATTTGTCCTATGCTCCTCTCAGAATGAAGCTTGTTTTATTTCAGTCTTAGTGCATCTTTATGATTTGAATCTTTCCTTAACTGAAGTATAGCATGTTTCCAAATCCACAGCAGCTTATGATCTTTTAATTAATACAATTACTTTTTAATTATTCAAGTTTAATTCTAGAAAGTTATCTTGTGTAAACTTTTTTCTAAAATAACTAATAAAAAGCTTTTTTAGAAGTAAATTACAAATCTATCAACATTTTAACCCTAAACAATTTTTTAAGATATTGTATAATTCTGTGCATATAAAAATACTGTGTTTAATCACAGTTATCAAAATAACCAAAATAGTAACAAATTATTTTACTCAAGCTTAGCATTTTGTATCTTCCCAACCGGACATAAATTAATATAATGTAAGGAATAAATTATGAATCTAGAGTGAAAAGAGAATACAAGAAAAATGTGCAGGTATTTTTCTAAAAATGTATATTAAAGTATCACATACAAATTATCTCTATAGTAGGTAAATCCTATGAAAGGCAGCTGGTTTCCCACGAAGGCTTTGGGGATTGGAAAGGTTTCCACGTCTCCCTTGTCGTCCTCAATGTCATCAAAATTACTGCTATCTATATCACTGCTGAGCTCAGGAACAACAGGAGCAGCAGCTATAAAAAGGGGAGAAAAGATGAACTTCAAGATTCAGTCACTTGCTATATACTGGTATCTCTATAATGTTAAAAGACTATATTATAAGTTGTCCTTAAATAACTTGTAGTTAAATATGTATTAACCAGACAGCAGATCTGGAAATATCTGTGCACAATTTTTTCTAGAGCAATCTATTTTTGTACTAGTTGCTTCATGCATAGACTATCTAATATGCAAGACATATTTGCTCAGGTAATTATGTTTGAGAATAGAACTCTAATACAATCAGCATTTTAAGAAACCTTAGTAAATATGTAACTTTAGAAGTTACGATCAAGCTCGTGAGCTGAACTGACATACTTCGCTTTTTTTACCTAAAGTTATTCAGGTTCTCAACACCTTAAATGAAAAGCAGTAAAACTGACAAGACCACTGTCAAACTACTGTCTTAACTACGAGAAGATCAAAAAAATCCCAAATCAAAATGAAAAAAACCATAACACAAAACAACAAAAGCAAAAGAGAAACATGCATTCTTTTTAGTTAAAATTCTGAAACATCCAATTCCTTTATTTAAAATGGAAATGTCTACATTAAAAGCATGATAAAGATGAGGATAATCCTAGTAGGAAAAATGTGTATTTACTAACCCTAACTAACATGAGTTTTCATAACACAAATGATAAATATGAAAGGTTGAGCAAGATTTTTGATAGATAGAAAATACTTAATTTATACAGCCTAACGTTTTTTCCTCATTTCTACTATTGCAAATACTGAATAAAATAGAACTTGTAAGCTAATTTACTCACTCTCTCGAATGTTGTCCCAGTTCCACTGATCGCTTTTGAAGAAAGGGTGATGCTTTATTTCTTCTACCCCATTTCTCCCAAGTCGCACATCCCTAAGCATAGCAATTAAGCCAAAGTCACATTAGGGAAACAAGCTTCTTTTTTTTTTGGCTTAGTTTGTTGTTATTTAAATTCTGACTTGTTCACAAGCAGCAATGAAACTTTCAGTAAAGATTGTCTGTGTTAACCACACTAATGGTCAGATAAAAAACAAAATTTAAAAACCACCAACCACTAATCTTTAGTTTCTTATATAAAACATAGTCTGATTCTTAGCATGCGCTCTCCTTGCAACTGCTGAAATGTCCAGAATTTGGAGTCTGCCACGTGGGGAGTAAAGCAAGACAGAGAACACTGAGGCAAAAACTAAGAAAAACCTAAAAACACAAACAAAAACTCAACACCCTCGGGGGAAATAAAACTGCAGAAGTTCCGTGTCTGCCAAACCACATGACAAACCGTAAGACGCAAGTGAAGGAAGGTCTAACCTACTGCACAGAACAGTTATTCAAAGTTGGACTAAAATAAATATTTTAAGAATTTCATCCTCTGCCCCACAACTAACCCTGACACGTCTTTTGCTGCTATTTGCAGTGAAGTAAATCTTAAGAGCAACAAGAAACTTTTAGTTTGAACAGAAGAGTCTCTCTTGAAACTATGTACAGGAACAGGACATAAAAACAATGGATGGAAAAGCAGCAGTAAATCACAGGGTCGATGCTTAGTCCTTTAAGTGCTTCAGCAGTGATCACGCAGACAGAGAGCAAGCATCTGTTTCAAATAAATCGCTCAAGCACTGTGTTAAATATAAACAGGAAGAGGGACACACGTAGTGGAAACACACCTCGCCACATTTACATTATTAAATTCTACTCATATTTTCTCTCTACCCTTCAGCTACTAAGGGTGAAAAATGCTGCTAAATTAAAGCACATCCTTCCTGAGCAACTGCGATCTTGCTCAGTAGAGCAAACAATCTCTCTTTGAATGCAAAACCCATTATAAAACCATTTGTTTTCCTAATCCCTCATTCTATATGCTCTGCTCCAGCTGGGTTCAGGTGAAGAAGCATAAGAAGGCATCACCGATCCAGAGTCAACTGTGGGTCTACAGTGTTGTTCTTTTAAATCAAAGAAATCAAAGATCATCTGTGCTTTCTCAAACTAAAGAAAATGTAAGTGTTCAGGTTAAGAACAAGCTTACACAGTTGAATTTCAATAAATGGCTCCATTCCATAAAGACAAACTTCGAGGACCTATTTGTAGCCAAAACAATACTCTTGCAGATTTGTTAGTTATACTTATCAATTAATGCAACAAAGCAAATAAAAACTAAAAATTCAAACATTCCAAGAAACCTTAAACAAACTCATAAATGCATGCTTACTTCCAGAGAAGTACTTGCTTTCATTTTTCATAAGTAACACCCACACAGACATTGAGCACAACAATTTCGTCCCTGCCTTGGAGCTTACAAATTACTTTCAGTCTTACAGGTTTGTAACTGTATTACACACTGCAATTGGAAGGATTTGTCCAGCACAAACTGTGTTGTTAACAAGAGCTGTCAGAACTGCTCATAGAAATAAAATACAATACCTGGAAAAAACACCCCAAAAGAAAAACTAGAGAACAGAAGGTTTTGCAGAAGAGATGTGGACAGAGATTAGGAAAAGTAATGGAAGGAATTAATTTTTACAATGTACCATCCAAAATAAATACAGCCAATACCATCCAAAATTTAAAAAAAGTAACAGAAAAACACATGCACTTACCTATCAGTTAAAAAGGCACAGATAAGGTTCTTCGCATGTTTAGAGATTTCCACGTCATCCGGGAAATGTAACGAGTTCTTATGATCCATAATTTTACTGTATGTTCCTACTAGTGAGTCTGCATAAAAAGGAGTATCGCCTGAAAATAAAATAGCAAATTGACTGTGATTTTGAGTCATGTAAGTTGAGTAAGAGAAAAGATATAAAGAAAAGTCTACAAGCAGCTTACCAAAAATAGTCTTTTATTTAAAAAAAAAATGAAACAGTAAAATTGGAATGCAAAAATAATGTATACTACTAAAAATATTCCTTCCCTAAAATGCCTGTATTAGAAACTACACCATTTTCTATCCTGCCTATCAATACCAGAATTTTGCCCAGCGAATTACACCTTTTGTTCTATCTAAAGACTCTCACTGTGTTTTCTAATTTACATGATGGCTGACACCCACTTAAATCCCCACCTTCAAACACTCCATGGGTAAAATGGACCACAACTCACTAAAGATTTGCTAATGCACATTTGTTGGAAAGAATAAACCAAAGCTCTCCAAAGACCATTTCAGAGGCATGACAGGCCTACCCTGCCTAAGGCAAGTCAGCTCTGAGCAGGAGCCTTCCCAGTGTGTTACTGCACTGTTAAAGCCATATTATTAAATCTTGTTCACTGACAAATTAATTAGCTTCGGTGCCCATATTAACATGACAGGTGGCTTTTAAAATCATAGACCTTTCCCACCCAGAGGTTTGCAGCATAGGTTCTAAAGATATTCGCAAAGAAAACAGAATTAAGAAAGGTAAAATTGGGACAAGTGAAAAGAATTGGAAGCGATGAAGGCAACTGACACTCAAATTAACTGACAACATTCTGAACTTACAAATGGTTCGGGTCTGTAATCAAGAAGCTGCAACTTTCACAGAAATGCTCTTTCTCCCAACTAATCCATAGGTTTAATAGGGAAGGCAAACAACTGATTGCATGAGCTAGGCTCCTTTCTCCGTCCCAGTGTGCTGTGTGCAGGCAGGGACCACCTGGCAGGACAGCCTTGCTGGCTGCAGCCTTCCATCAAGGAACTGAATATTTCAAAAGCCAAGTACATGAAAAAAACATACAAACGGACCAACAGACAAAAAACATTCTACTTTCAAAAAATACAAATGTAATAATCCTAACTTGAGTCTCCTCTTGTCATTTTATGGCATAATAAGGAATCAGTACACACCAGCTTGAACTAAACTTCTAAACTTTTAGTAAATTCATTAGGGTGCCATACCAGTGCATTGCAGGCAGGGATCACTGATACTTGTTGCTGCCTCACTCTCCCAACCTTCCTCTTCTCAATTGTCTTCTGTCCCAGAAACAGCTTTGATTTTGGACACACCTTAAAACTATCTAAAGTCACTGAACTATCGTTAGGATTCATCCTGTGACCAACATTTTACCTTTTAGTCAAGGGCACAATACAATTTTAATTCTCATAATAAAATTTTCATTAGTACTGTGGCTTTACTAAAACCAGAACAACGGAACACTTTCTGTGATTTCTTTGAAGTGCAAAGTTTTAGAAGACCACAGGCAGAATCTGATATGTGAGCACAGACAAAAATAGATGGAGAAATTAAGTAATATTTCCCTCCTAGATACAAGAGGAAAAAAAGGGAGGCTCTGAGAAGAAAATTCTGGACAGCTATGTCCAATATTTTAATAACTGAATAATTTTCTTTATTGCTAAAATTGTTCATTAGAGACTAATCATTATAAAACACTCTATTTAAAGCCAAAGTGCTTTAATTCTGAAAGACATAGAAATTGTTACAGCTTTTTATATCCAAATGTCTTTCCTAGCTTAGGATACCAGAAGCATCAAATCTGCAATATTCCCAGAACATGCTGATTTGGATTTTTAATAATTATATGCTCAATTCCATCCTTCTATAATCAGTATTTTGCTACCAGACTATAAAATTGATCCTCACCATATATTAAGAGGCAGATGACTCATCTCCTTAACAGATTATATTCTATGTTCGTTGCCATGGCAGTCTGGTGTATCTTACTGGAAAATCCTGACTCAAGCATAGAAGAAAGAATCAAGCCATAGTTTTGCATTTTGACCTAACAGAAGACACTGACATGCTGTGGGAAAAAAGAAGAGGAGAAAAGAAAAGGACAGTCCTGCCCTTTCCACTCCTTTCTCATCTCTGTGGCCCTGCAAACTCAGTACTGCTTGATGTGGCATAAACCTTCACGAGTTGGTGAGGTAGCTGACCCCAGTTAAAACTATTCTAAGAATTAGTTTTAAGCTGAATCAAGTCAGGGAACTAATCACTGAGCACGCACGCAAACAGCTGTCACAGCGTAAGAGTGACAGAGAGCAAAGAGAACAGAAATGAAACCACAGTATCAGCCAAAAGTCAGAAGCTGTTAGTGAGGTACAACCAGCCCCTGAGCAGCAAAGTACAGCTAAAGGCACAGTAAAGACTCAATGATAATCTTATTAGCAGACTAAATTACTACTTACCAACTAACATCTCAAAAAGGAACACCCCTACAGACCACCAGTCACATTCCCGTCCATAGTAACCATCACCCCCCTGCGACTTCAGAACTTCGGGCGATATGTAGTCGGGGGTTCCCACGGCCGTGTCGCAGCGAACCATTCCTGTCTGTGCAACAGAAGAACACAAACAGCTCAGTCCAAAACACTTCTGAGTCTTTAAACAATTAATCTATTAGGAGAGCAGAAAACCATACAAAATATAGCCTAAAATATTTGTTTGACGAGTACGTTTGAAAAACTACTTTTTTATTCAAAAACAATATGGACTGAAATGACATTGTCTGGTAATGTGGTCACCCCTTGCCTACTTCATAGTGATTTCTCTTGACTACCTCTTTCCAAAATTGACCAATTTTATTATTTTTACCATTGGTTTCAATATGAAGCTACACACCATATCAGACTGTTCCTTATCTCATTGAATTCAGGGACAAACTTTAGAATCATTTTGACAAGTTAGGAATTCTAGGCCCTACATTGCAGATACATAACAATTCTGTCCAATTCAGACAATAAATCAAGTTTGAGGTAAATTTTTATAGTTACACCTCGTTTTTTAATTACAGATGCGAAGAAGACTAAAAGGAAAAGCTATTTTTAAAGAATAGGAAAGCTCTTTTTCATTTTTTTTTTAATTAACGTAATGCCACAGTTGTATTAATGGAATGATTCCTCATCCCCTTTGCTTCACGCTGAGAGACTGAAAATGCAGGAGCTAAGTGATGCAGAAGCATCAACCAGATCTGCCAGTATTCTAGTTCAGAGTTATAAGCCTTGTTTCCTTTAGTCAAATTCACTGTATTCACTCCTCAGAGACCAGCTGGATGAATGAAACGAAATTCTGGATGAAGTTAGAGAAGTACCAAAAATACACTCATCTTTTATTCTGTTTCTAAATCTGAAATCTCAGTCATCTTACAAAGTTTTTCATGCATTTTGCCATCAGCATGAACAGCAATGTGCATTATTTACAAATATTGATATAGAATATTAGTAGCAATAACTAAAGTCAAAATACATATTTAAAGAAAGTAAGAGAAACATTTTGCTTTGGGAATTGTACTGATGTGTAAAACTCACACACCACATTGTAATATTCCTTTTCATACACAATATGAACTGTCAAAAGCTTTTATTTCTGTACTAAACCAGAACACAGAGAGTCATGAACCAGCAGGCAAAAACTAAAGGGATGACTAAATACTGTAGAGACCCTACTGCCTGTCCTCCTGGCAAATGCCTATCATCTTCTACAACTCTATGCTAAAGCTGAAACCTGAAGAAGTTTTAACTTCTCAGTTACAGAATGAAGAGCAGGTTAACTTTTGCCTTCTATACTATGGATGAGACAGCACATAAGCTATTCATCCCTGGGATAAGAAAATGAAGTTAATACTTTTCAGAAGACCTAATGCATTCATGGGTCAAAAAAACCCATAAACACATTTTAACAGTGGAAATAAACTGAAGCCCAAAGGCTCCAAAAATCTAAAGTTAAGAGCATTCAAAAATGAATCTGGCACATGGCAGGAACGACTATTTGAATATGCTGCTTGTAACAGCACTTGTGCACTACATGTCTTCTCTGAAGCTTAAGCCTCTCTTTGCTTTGGGCTCAGGAGGAATTGCTCTAGGGTTATGTAATTCTGCTCATCTAGTAAGACTGTGGCATCTTAATGAGGCCTTCAACACTGGCGTGTGTCTATCTCTTCCTTATCCAAATGCAAAATTACAAGGAAAAGTCTGAATTTTTGCTCAGTCAAGACTGGCTGAAGCCACCCAAATCCCTCCCCAGGTAAGGAGATACTTTAAAAACAAAGTAAACAAAACAGTTCTGAAAGAACTTTTTCTGAACATCGCCTTGACACCTAAGCACTTAATAACACACCATTTCCCACCCTTCTATAATTAATACACCAAAGCAAGGACACTTTTTAATATGTTACAGGTGTTGATATTTTATGAAGTCTTAAGCAAACAAAGCAAAGGCTGTGCCAAAACCAGCCAACCCCAAATCTGGCTGGTATGTAGCAACAAGGAAAGTTCTTTGCAATGACATTACAGATGCTAAAGAACTTCAAGTAATAACACCTTAAGTTTTCAGATGAGACGCCAAAGAACTGAACAGTAAAACAAACAACTATTTCTACAGCAAAAAGGGCCCTGCTTCCTAACACCAGTTTTCAATAGACCATACCACTTTGAAGCACATGGAGCTGGTTGTACTTACTTCACATGAAACTCTCTATCTTCTGTCTCAGGAACTAATCTAAAAGTGCATTCACAGATCATAGAACAGTCTGGCTTGGAAGGGACCTTGAAAGATCATCTGACCCAACGTGTTGTGGGAAAAATGGCCTATATAAGATTATGTAGCACCTTGACCAACTGCATCACAAAAAACTCCAGCAATGGCGGATTCTATCATGTCCCTGTGAAGGTTGGACCATTATCATCTGCATATACTATTCCCATATTTCTGTTCCTCTCATTTACACACTTGTTCTTTCAAAGAACTTGAGTGTTGCTCTGTATGTATTTCTAAGTACTGGATACCTTTAATATCACCATCAGACTCGCTTCTATGATCTCCGGCATCAAAGGCAAGTAAACAAGGATGTCCTCTTTGTGCAATACACGGCACCCTGGCAGTCCCTACACTCTGGAGAGACCTAAAGGATGCTGTTTTCTCTGGCCAACTCATTACTCCTGTGTTTCAAATACTAAGCTTCTGTTTTATGCCTGAGCAGCACACTTACTATAACAGTTCTCAGTTTCAGGCCAGTGATTTACCCGAAACTTTCCTCATCACCTCAAAAGATCAAGGTGGATCTCGGAACCCATCTCCTGCAGCTCTGTGAGCGATGCACAGTGCACAGTTTTAAAAAATAGGCTGTCCAGGAGACACAGCATGTCACAGCTCGTGACAACTTGGCAGTGAGGCTGCAGTGTTTCCCAGCATCGTTCAGTGTTATTGTATTGCTGAAGGAAAAGCAATTCAGGTTTCATCTTCAGGATGATCTCCATCAGACCTGAAGGACTTGCTGTCTTGAACCAAGGCAAACAGTCAGGCTTTTACTTCCTCATTAAGTTCCTTCCTGTAAAAAGAGCTGGAGAGTGCTTGTGCAAAAATATTAGGATAGCATATATTAGGTGTTAACACAGCACACAGGCTAGTGCAGTGCGCTGCAGACAATGGACTGAAGAAAGAAGGATCCAGCAGGATCTTGGATAAGCTTCAATGAGAAAGAAGTTGAGTTCTAAAAACAGGAACACACTGCTTCTTTCAACGAAACTGCCTGAGCCAAGGTAATAATCCCAAATGGCAAATATGCCTTCTTTTGGTCACATCTGTTTTCAACAGGTAGCCTCTAAACCTGTGCTCTTCTGAAAGCTCAGCTGGCAAGGACAGCGCCGTGTACCGAGCCTGGAAACACTGGCCCTACCAGACCTATCGAAGCCAATTACTGTCTAGTTTCTTACATAAAACCTGAAGATTAGACACCTGGTGAAACCTGCCCTGATCGACCTTACCAGACCTAAATACCTAAAGGGAACCACAATTTCTACTGAACCTCTGAGGCCAACTCCATTCTTTATACAATAATAGAAATACTCACCTTATTGCAGATTTTAAAAAAGGCAACAAATTAAAAAAAACCCAAACCATCCCCCACCACAAACCCTCAAATCATGACAACTGAGTTATATAAACAGAAGAGTTCCTTTTATGCTGGAAAAGATCACTAAAAACACTTAGCAGCAACTCTTTTCACATAGTGATAAGGAGGAATTCTAGTGCAACTGTCAGGTTTGGCCTGGCAGACTTAAGTGAACACTGACTTCAATTCCACACCAAAGGTCAGAAAAATCTCTAACCAAATTGCAGTAGAATTTTCCTGGGCTATTGGCAGCATAAGGAAGATACCAATGTCCACAACTGCTAAAAGAAATCCAGATCCGAAAAAATAAAAAAGTATTGGGTAAGCTATATTTTCTAGAAATCAGTCTGCCAACACCAATATTATATTTACACAGCTGGGATGTGTTCGTGTTTTGTAAGAAGTAGCATGAGATTTGGAGACAATCCAGAATCTCTCAACTTCTAAAGCTTCCTGTAAAAAAAATTTTTGCCATTCCACTGAGTCTGAGAAACACGAAGAACTTAAAATGTAATCTGTTAAAAAATTAATTTCTTTAGCAGATTACTGGTCCATTGATGATGCCCAGTCTAAACTGGAGCTCACTGTAATTCTTTATGACAAACATGCAAGCATTTCTGACATTTACAGTAGCGTCATCCACATTTTAGTATTCCATTCTTTTAACAACAGCAGCGAAAAGGAAAATGGAAAGAAAGGCCTAGGTCCACCATTTCTGGGATCTCTAAAATAGCATAGAGAATCCCTCTTTCATTTTAGATTTATATTATGAACTTTTTGCTGCTTTTTAATTGTCTCTTCAGATAACAACAGATTCCTTTAAGATCTACGGTCTATTGACTCAAAACAAAGTTAATTTTTAAGGACTGAATTAAGAGACCAAGTACTACTTTCAATTTTTTCAATTAAAGTAAATGCTGTCCCCTAGAATACAGGCAAGTAAATCATCCAAGTGGAGGTGAATATTCTCTCTGCCTTTAGAGTAACAATAGTTATTAAATTATCAGCAAAACTAAATAGACTGAATTTCAATAAACAGCTGCGGTTGTACAATGAAGTTAATATATTAGCATGTGAAAAAAAACCAACCTAATCAGAGACAGTACTTCTAGATACAGCTGAGAAGACATTAATTTAATGATGCAAATGCAAATTAAGTAGGTTGCAGAGACTATATCAAGCACCTTCAAAACAATACACAGAAAAATCTAAAACACTAAAGCAAGTAAGCTTAACAGGGTAACCCTTGCCAATATTAATACAGAAACCTTTCAAAGGCCAGGCAAATCGTAACACACATTCATATACAGGGTTTTTTTAGAATCTGTTAGAATTTTTCACAGGAAGAATACATTCTGTAATTTACAGCCTAACACTGTTTGTCAGGGAAGATTTTAAGAATGCAAACTTCAAAGGTAGATTTGTTTTTAAGTCACCTTTGATAACATAAAGTATTACATCATGTTAAAAATATTCTTATGCAATCTCATTAGAAAACTGTATTTGACTGTAATAAAATCTGGACAATTATAATGCACGACATCTTGACAAATATCTAACAAATTTTGATGAATATATCACATACCACTGCTGCCCCACTGCAACCTCATTTGAATGACCACTAGAGGATGCTACGAGAACAATGAGACACAGGAAAACACACGGACTACATTTTGCCTGTAAAATAATTTCATTTACAGAAAAATGTCAGCCTATGAACTGTTCCAAGGTTATTAATGTTGAAACTACGAGTTATCTCGTAAGCTTTTCAGACATTTGGCAAAAAAAAAATGAACCTCAAAAATTCATAAACACACATGCTTTCAGAAATAACGAAAAGTAAGTTTACATCCTTCTTCTGTGTGACAGAACAGTTTATTATAAAAAAATTACACTATTTAGAGTACTCATATTTAAAACTAGGAGACAAGAAACGGCTTTCTAACCAGGTACACCATTTGATGAACTTTCTTTTGTGTATTATAATTCATAAGAAAATAACCCTAGAATTACAGTTTTATATATAATAAATTATTCAGTTGCGTACTTACTTCATCCATTTTCATACAAGTGCCAAAATCTGCCAGCTTCAGATGCCCATGTTTATCTAAAAGCATATTGTCAGGCTTCACATCTCTGTGTATCAAGCCCATGGAGTGAATTGCATCAAGAGCAAGAACAACTTCGGCTGTGTAGAACTTGGCCCATTTCTCAGGCACATCGTAATTGCTCATAAGGTTTACGAGATCTCCACCTGGCATGTATTCCATTACCATGTACAAGTACTTGTCATCTTGAAAGGCACAAAATAGCTGCAACATTAATAAAAAAGAAAGAAAAAAATGCAATTACTTTTCAGAGACATCTAGTAAAAAGAATAAAGCCCCTTATCTTGAAATTTTGTTAAACCTGAGAATATCTTGTCAAAACTTATGTAAATAACTTTACTTTTTACATTCAGACAATCTACATTTTCTATTAATTATGACAGTACTTTGAAATTTACTGAATTTCAAAATCCCTTCATCTTCATTTTAAAGAAAGTGATAAAAGACTTCCTGATTTTTTTAATAATATAGGTTTATATATATATATCTATATATCCATATTTCTTGACATTAAAAAGTATCACTGAGTCAAAATGCAAAGTATCAAATCTGAGAAAGGGAGCATCACATAATGATTTGAAAATACCTAAACAGTGAGCAGCAACTCAGACTATTTCTAAATTGTGTGTATTATAAACTCCTTAACTCTGTACTTGTTCACAAAGTCACCACTGATTTTGTCCTAAATCAACATATATTGAAATAAGAAAGAAAACCAAAATGTTACTGAAAACAACTATAACACAATACAAAGAAATTATCCTTAACAATAAAATACTGATCTGGCATAGGTTGCAGTCAGTATGTTTCCTACTGGCATGATAATGAAAATAAGTTATCTCTTTAAAATGTATTTCAGACCTAAAGTGCTGAAAGTTTTAGAGATCTCACTCAGCAATCACCAAGTCTGAAAATAGCCCAAGCCATCAAAAGCATTACTATCAAATGTTCAAAGGCTGGTGTGAAAAAGTCTCTGAAAGTCTCACCTTATTTCTCAGGGAATACTGCTCCTTTACCTTAAAATCTAAAATTATTCACATCTTTAAATTACACACACAAAATTTAAAGGGAACTGAAAATAGGATGTATGGAAAGGAGGAAGGGAAAATAAGGGAATCTGTGGAAGATGAGGAACCATGTAAGGCAGGTATGTTATTATGGAGATTTGACTTTTAGATTAAAATTAACTGTATAACTAGCGACAGAAGACCTAGATTAGAAATATATATTTTAATACATACATATTGCACTGTATTTGTTTTCACAAATGGATAATATATGCATTATATAGTAAGATAATGCACTTGGTCATCAAAGTCTAAATTAAAATCCAAAATAGTCTCTGTATTCTCACATGTAAATATATTAATATTACACAATAATAAATAACAGCACTATGCCTTTATACAGCACTTTCATTATTGCCCTCAAGGGATTTAATTTAAAAAAAATAAATTAAAATTATCTAGGGCTCTGGTATCATTTGTTTTTCATATTAAAAACAAGACACAGAGAAGCAGTGTGATCTGTCCCAGTTTCTAACTCAGAACAGGAGCTACATTTTCTTCAAACCAGCTCGATGTCCTGTCCCACTGGACCACATTACCTAAATATATCACACTAATACACTTTACCAGAGAAGGCACACTTGCAACTACACTTTTGTTCATTTGCTATTTGCACATACAGACATACATTTATATCCTGCTTGTGACACTTTCCTTTGAAAATCCATGTCATGCATTTCTCGTTCCTTTCAACTGCATGTGAAAAATAAAAATAATTCCTGACAACTGCTGTTACTAGAACAAAGAACTAAATAAAAAAATCATCTATTTGGTTAAGTATTTCTGCTGAATATAGGCAAGGGCACAGAACATGTTCAAAGAACAAATCAAGTAAATAAAAAACCTTGTAAAACATTTCTTGCATGAAGTTATAAAGAATATATGGAAAGCTTCAGGCCAGTCTTATTAAATACACAGAGGCATGGCAATATACATGAGAGCACTTAGATGTATTAGTTATTTAACAAACTTAGGTACTAACAGTTTCTCCAAGCACATGCTTTCACTACCCATTTTATTAACTGGTGTAATTCACCGGTTACAACAAAAGGCAATAAGCAGTACTGATTCCTCCCAAAGGCATAATTCACATTACAACACCGTGATGATACATCTCAGGAGACAGCTGCGAGCAATGGTGCTCAAGACAACTGAAGAAGCCAACTCTCCATTACTTGGATTTTACTTCCAAGCTCAGGTGCTCTAACTGATCACCAAACAGAAGACGGTTTCAGCAAACCACTGCTCTGGTCTTGCAGGATACCGGGGTGCACACTCACCCATAGACCAAACTGCTGATGAAAAGACAGTGACTGTTTAAATCACTCTTAATACTAACTGCCTGTGATCAACTGACTGTATCAGAAGGAAAGACTGGAAAAAATATTGACATTTGTTTCTACATTTCTGTACAGAATTTTTCTTAGTTGGAAAGATAAATTCCCTATTATTCCAAATAATTATATTGGTATTTCAAAAGTCTGTTTCATTCTGTTTTATGATGCATTTGTGGTGACTAAAATGTAAATTAATCTATTTTCTAACACAGCCAAATACTCAAAACTCAGTGAAATTGCTGTAAAAGTGTATTTTTAAAAAGAAAACTGCGATTTGAGTTTAGGTGTCAATTCAAAACCAGCCTAAGACTGGAAAATATTTATTACATCATCGTTATTATTGCTGTTGTTGTTATTATTATTATTATTTTACTCTTACATATCTTCCTTACCTGAACCACCCACGGACTGTTGGCGAAGGCCATGATATCTCTTTCTTCCCAGAAAAAGGCTGAATCTGATCTCTTGATCATTTCAAATTTACTAAGTAGCTTCATTGCATAAACTTTCTGTGTCATTTTATGGCGAACCTGTTCGTTGAGAAAGAAGAGAATCAACTTTTTTTAAATGCCTCATTAAAAACCTGAACACCAGCACAATATATTTCTGCTATGTGCAAACTGCCTTCTGGGATGTGATGCCTCCAGGTCTTCATACACCTGATTTTCTACCCAGTAAGGATTTGAGAACTTCCAAACCTGGAAAGAAAAGCTTAACAGCCGCTCAGAAAAACCACCATAGCAGGGGTGGAACAAGAAGGATGCCCTGGGAAGGAAGATATGCCAGAGACTGGACAAGGGCTGCAGCTGCCACTGCAATCGCAGCAGAGGAGCCACTGGGCCATGAGCAGAAGCTCTTGGGAGGTGCCTGTTTCTTTGAAGATGCAGCAACACGAGCATATGATAAAGAAAAAAAACTCCAAAAAACCCAACGCAAAACTCAGAATGAGAAAAGTACCACCTTTCTCTAAAGACCTGAACTGCTCTTAACATTTTCTCAGTGAAGGTGCCTACTTCAAATCACCCAGAACACTAAAAAGATAAAATGACTGTTCACAGAAAAAAAAGGAAATGCTATTCCCCCATCAAAAGTTAGATCATGTAAGGAGAAATAAAGTCCGTGTTTGTATTTTCTTATTCTGAACACTGTCTAGCCATTTAAGTCATTCATGTTAGAAATTCTGCAAGCAGTCGGCTTCAGCCTCTGCCAATTTTTATTTTGCACCAGGTAAAGATTGCTCCTATTTCTTTCTTTTCCTAAATAGTTCTTAAACTCACTTTAAATGGTGCAAAATTAGTAACATAAACCTTATTGGAAAACTGGAATTAAAACTTCTATGAAAAAATATGAAAATATTTTGGAAAACTTCATCTGAATGCAAACATGAAACCAAATCCTTAAATTACACACTGCAGTCATTACTCTGTTAATTAAACAATATGAGACTTATGCTGCTTTATGAAACAACTACTAAAGCATCAGGTTTTTAACATTCTTGAGTGTTCCTTACAGAAATCAAGGTGAGAAGTATTCAGCTGTAAAATGTCTGAGTCAGCAGAAAAAAATAAATTAACTGCACCTTAACGTTTTGCATATTTTCTTCCTGTTAAAATAAAAAATTCAGTGGACTAATTTCTGAAATCGATTTGTGAAATTTGTGAAATGCACCAGAAATAGAAATTATGATTTTCTGGTGCATTTAAAACTCTCACATTTAGAAAAATAAAGCAGATCTCCCGACCTTAGTTTTGCACTAGTTTAATTACGCTACTTGAAAGAACAGAAGCTTTTTCTGAACACCTGTAAATGTTTCAGGTCCACTACATCTGCAGTGCAAAGCTTCAGAGAGGCATCTATTTGGTCTACAAATCTGGGAGTCTCCTGCTGCAGAGGAGCAGTAGAAAATAATATTGCTGAAGGAATAGAAGTATCAGTGGAGGGGGTAATCTTGGAAAGAGTGAGAACATGAATAGAAACAGGATTATTTAAGAACTTACTTGAAATTGGGGCTTTTTGCTTTCAAGATATAGGTGCAGAGGTTTTAGTATTAGTACCTTGCATAGTTTAACACTAACCAACAACCTTCTGTATAGTTAGACCAAAAAACCTCCAGCCTAACACCAGAACAGAAACAGGATATCTACCTTTATTAACAACTCTATAAGCACATTTTAAGATATTAACAATTAAGTCAGCTAGTGAGGGTGTCCTAAAAAAGGATTTTGAAAATTAACTCCTTCCCATTTACTAATCCCACATGGGATTATTTACAAAGATTTGGTGGTACACCACAAACTATACTCCACAAAGTAGAGCTCTTGTAATCCTGCCCAAAACCAGAAGAAACACAAAGACCAGAAACCACAAAAAGATACTGTTTAATTGAAGATGCATTTTCTGTGAAAGTTCATGTAAAGCTCTGCAATGTATTTAGTAGTTTACAGTTCCTAAAGTTGGTGTGTACTCTTGCATAGGTGTAGTTAGTGCAGCTGCCTTCATTTAAAAGAACACCTGTCTCCCACTACTTTGGGAAAAAAATTGTTGAAAATTAGCACAGCCTGAAACAAGCTCATGCACAGGAGAGGCAAAGTAAACAGGGGTGGGGAGACCCAAAATCACAGCCTGTGCACCTCTCTAAAGTAGTGCCAATAGCTTATTAGTTGGCTAAATTACTTCTGGAGAAAATTTCAAGATAGGTTCTTTCTCTGTACAAAAATCAAGGAACCAAAGCAATAACTGGTATGGCACACCCAGAGGCTGAGCGTGTCTTGGCACACCTTGCAGGGGAACAGACCTACCACTGATATTACTGCTTCTATCACCACCGTGGCCCCTGGAGACAGCCTTTTTAGCTGCTAGTCACTGTACTCTTCACCCAGAGCTATATTTGTACATACAGATATTGGCTCATACAGCAGATTATTCATGTATTAAACTGTCATGATGTTTCAATTTCTTCCAACTGTTAAAAGGACCTGCCAAATTTAAACTGCAGCTCACCACAGTAACTCTCAAAATAGGTAGGAAAATCCCTTCATGCCATTAGCACTGAGTAACATGGCCTCATTTAACTCATGAAAATGCATTAAGAAAAAAGAATTTCACTCTACTGTGCTTCAACAATCTAAGACCTTCAGTAAAGGAGCACACGCAAAACGCACCCATAATTTCTACAGCATCCACTCCAGAAGACAATCTGTAGGCAAAGAAAATAACATATCTATTTGAAGTTATCAGATTGAATACGCAGCATTGGCAATAGTACTGTCTCTTTTATGATTGAAAGAAAATGAAGGTCCTAGAGTGGAGTTTTGAAATGAACTCCAAGGCTTGAAGTAATCACAAGTATCCTAAAATACTTAATAGAGCCATAACATACGACTATGGATAGGGCACCGAAGTTCATATTCTGACAAATTTTCAGGTAAAAAACCATGACTTTATCTGCTCAATTACAGAGCTGCACGACCGCAGTGGACAGGAACTAAACCTAATAAACAAAGCACTTAATGGAAAAAAGTAAACCAGCACCTCTTTACGCAGGCCATGACAACTGCTGGTTTGCAACACTAAGAAATCGCACAGTAAAGACTGACACCCAGACCATTCTTTAGCACTCAAACACAAGAAAGCTTTAGTTTTGCTTTAGTTTTCTCTTCCAGTACATGACCAGGTCAGTCTGGTGTGTCACTGCAATGTTGCAGTCCTTCATGGTTAGATCTGGGAGAAGGGACTAAAGATAAGTTTCAATTTCATATCAAGAGGATTTTTCCTCAAGTGAAAACAAACAAGAGGTACTCAGGATGTGCTTTCATAAATTACTGTTTCTGCATAAACCACAAGTAACATATTAAGCACCATAATTCAATTTTTCTGTCTGCCCAAACACCAGTCACTTTTATTCACGGCACTGCATAAAAGAAGAAGTGGTCTGGCAGCTGGCAATTATTTTCTTAGCTTTCCCCATCACTACAGATCCAGTAAAACCAGAGACCAGAGCTCAAGTGTAGAGTTTAATACTTCTGGAGCTGTAAGGAAATTGTTTTTCCACCGAAGTCAGATGCTCAAACCAGAATCATCTGATCTCTCTTTACGGGACTGAATTTTTTTAATTTTTTGGAGGGCAGAGGAAGGGAGAAAAGTGAGGCTTTTAAAATACAATCTAACTGTAAGATACAACAGTAGAGAATTTGTTTCCCTTTTCTGAAAGAATCTGGAAAGTTGATCACTCCACACCACTTCAACAAGAAAATGCTATACTGGAGCAGAAGACACGGGGAAAATAAAATTAAATGACAGAGGTCATAGCTGCCTAGTTTATGCTGTAAATATTACAAGCCAAAAAATAAGCATTCTAATATAATCATTAGAAACATATAATAAATATTTGTGCTACAAATACCTATGCACAACAGCACACACTGATAACAAAACATTCATTAATTCACATAGTTAATCATGTTTTATTTATGGTTCTTTCTGCATTGAGTCCCCACTGAAGCAAATTTCTATTTTGATCGCAGAAAGTATTGCAAAATATTTTGCTTACTGCAAATCCATCATCTGCAACAGTGGTGTTAGCATTTTAAATGAAGTAGAAATAGATATAGCTTAGCTCAATAGTTTAAATTTGTATCATACCTTGTGAGGAAAAAAATCTAGGTATGTCTGTCCACATCACCAGCTAATATTAGTTCAGATCTGCAATTGTATTTATTAGCCCACTGCTTTTTAGCTGTAAGACTGCATAACATTATGATTTCAACTTATATTTTTACATTACAGAAAAATGGTGTTCTCTTAAATTGACATAAAGTACAGAAGAGTTCTATTTGAACACACAGAAGTTCCCCTCCAGCACCAAGCATTCCTGCTTTTTTGAAGGGCTTATTAAAGAATAAAAAAACCCCAACATAACAAAAACAAAACCCAAAAAACATTATTATATAACCAGGTTACCAAGCATTTTGCCATTTTCATGGTCAGGCAAATGAAAAATAGTTTGTCTTCAGATCCCTCAAACTGCCTAACTGCAGCACGGACACTGAAAAATCAGCTCTTCTTCAAAATCTAAATTGTGCATGACATGGATTATTTAGAAAAACCCTTTTATCTTTAGAAATACATATATGAAAATGCATCTTCATTTTTGAAGCACATCAAAAATACAATTCTCTTGGATCCTTCCAGCAAATATATGAGTGTGACACCCAAAAAAGGCACAGCTTCTGTTATTGGGATCTTCTCTTTTTCATCTCACCCCTACTCAGCAAATAGAGGAGGAACTCTGCTCCTTAGGACTTGACTTTTCACTGACTTCCCATGCAAGCGCATGAAAAAGGAGAGTCTCTATTTGCTGCTACAAGTGGATATACATAAAGATAAAAACATCTAATCAAGGACTTTAAAACAAGCCATTTGATGTGTCTGTCAGTGAAAAGACAAGGAACAGTCTGCTTTCTTACAAAGCTCCCTGCAGCAGCCCTTTCACACATAGGTAAGGTTCTGCTAAAGGTTCTGGTTTTGGTTTTAATTTCTTGCCAGCAAGGATATAGAATCATATAAAGATACATATTAATTTTTTAAAGTCTTGTTAGAAAATGGGGATTTTTGGAAATACTCCACTGCAGACTTCATACATTCTTCTGGATAAAAACAAAGTGCAAATGACCCTGATAAAAATAGGTAAGAGGCTGCTACATTCTCATGTTGCCAGACTTGGATGAAGGTGTCTCAAAAATGACACAAATGAATAAAAATTGCTGATTAAATGTTGCTGTCTGCCGCATAAATAACATCTAAATTTGCAAATTATCCATTAGTCATGCAAATAGCTTTACTCTAGTCACAGTTTCAGGATAATTTTAGGTTTTCTTCCCTGGTTTCCATTAATTTCACCAACGCTAATATGGAAAATACAAAGAATTTTATAAATGGATCATAAATGTATTACTATTTTACACTGTATACCTTCTATAAGTACTTCACAGCTTACAGAATTTTACCACATTCCTCAACAAAACCCCAACACATCTTTGTATTTTCCAAAATGCTTATGTATTACAAGACAATATAATTTTCCCAGCTTCCTAGTGCAAAAATAGCACATAACAGTAAAATGTCAGTTCCATGTCAAAAAGCAAAAGGGTAATTTTTGTTACCTTGTGGTAACAAGATAACAAGTTTCAATTGCTGCAAATTAGTTGCTCCACTTTCCATTTACTTGCTCCACAGCTCTCTTCCACTAAAAATGCTCACAGAGAAAAGTATCCTGGATTAGCTGGTGCACAGTTATCTGTAAACTCATGATAACTTGTCCTTGGTGTTTGTATTTCAGATTCTATTTGGTGCTTACATCCAAGGCTTATTTCAAAACTGACATATCAATCCATCTTATACGTATGTGCACATTTTTGTGTCACTTATCACATATTAGGACTTGGAAGTCTGGGAAAAACCAAAATTAAACGAAAATCAGACTATGCGTGATACACCAAGGGGTTTTTTGTATTTTGCCTTTTTTTTAAATAGAATTTCTCTACAATAAAAATTTACAAAGTACTCTCATTCTTACTTTAGTTATTATAGAGCATACAATGTTGAGGGGACAATGTTAAAAAATGAATCTTTTAAAAATCCTGAGTCATGTCAGTTAAACGCAATGCAAGCATTACAATTATAAGAGCAAATCAAAATTCTTTTGTCACACTATATACTTGCTCTTTCATAGGAAGGTTTCAGACATTATTATACAGTGAAGCTTGTGGCCAAAAAAATTTAGAATTGCCATGAACTGCCTTTTTGACATTGATCAAAGGATAATAAACTATTTCCCAAGTCCTTCCCTTCCAATCCATCACATTTTAAACTCAGATGTACTGTCTACTATGTGCAGAAATGACCTCATGACACAATGAAAATAATACTTATTCTTTATAACAATGCATTTTTAGATATAAAGTGTGGAAAACTGAGGAAGGTTTTGGCTAGAACTGGAAATCTCTCTAAACATTAAATCATTACATTCTTACCAGCTGCACTTCTCCAAAAGCCCCTCTTCCAATCACCTTTACAACATCATAGTCTTCAGCTTTCATTTGTAAAGCTCGGATTTTTTCCACAATCTTCTCATCTAAAACAAATCAAATAGAAGTTGTGATAATGCACGTATTAACAGAATACAAGAATTTTCTCTGTAATTTTTCATTTAGAGTAAAAATAAGCTATTTGCATTTAAATGCTTAGAGTTTTCTTGATAATTCTTGAAATCTGCAGTCACTCTAAATATCCCCTTTCATTATTCTTTGGAAACCATTACCCTCTACCTTTAGCTGTAACAACTGAAATGTCTTTTGGACTTTGCTGATTCTCATTTCACACCTCTAATAATCACTCAAAAGCTCACAAGAAGACTCTGGCAATGAAGAGAGGCAGAGATGCCTGTTGTGCAGGGGTAGAGGACTTGGTACACACAAACCACTGCAGCTGCGACCTGCTCCTACACAGCTGGAGGGTTCAACAGCAGTCAAATGGCAACCTTCATGTACAACTACGGATCATGCAAAGACATGACTTCAGATCCACTCGTTCATTCCATCCGATACATTGATTCAAGTTTACCTATGAGTATGTAACTGCTGGCCATCTCAAAGTGCTTTTTGGTGTTCACTACACTTCTTAAAATGATGTCTACAATGCTCTGTTCAAGTATTCTCTGGTATAATGTTCTGCAGATAAGCTCTGGCTGTCAGTATGTGTCTTGTTGGCAGTTGTGAGAATCCGTAAGGGAAACCAGCGAAATTCTGATCTCTGACAAATTCTAAAAACACGCAAAGTCCTAGACTCTTTAATTTTGCAAATGAAGCATGCTACGAATGCATTCCTGGCTAAATGCATTTTTTAAGTCTATTCTTATTACAAGGACAAAAGATAATGGAAACAATGAATGGAATCCATAATACGGGAGGTAATCTTTCTTAGGCATGGCAAGCCCCCCCCCCCCTCCCCGCACACACTGAGAAGAAGCAAAACAAAGCAACCAGGTGGCTGGAGCAAGAACTCTACCAGGGAAGAGCATAAAATTGTATGAAAAGCTGTGGATGCTTATATTCAGAGAGGAGTAGAGGTGTATATTGTGAGATCCCTGTTTAGGGTCAAATACCATGGAATTTGATCCCTAGAAAGGCATGAAAGAAGATCTCAGATCTGAATACAGGAGGAAAAAAGGATCAGAGATACAGTTAATCCAGTACGACATTAAAGATGACCTAGTCCGAGGAAGTTAATGATAATGAACATCTAGTAAATAGCTTAACCATCCCTACATATTTAAAACGAGCAGCTTGGCAGGCTACAAGCAATCCAGGAGATGCCTGACTATCAAGAACATTTATTTTGTTCCAAGCAAGCAGAAAGCCAAATCAGGGAGGTGCTCTGGTCTATTACTCACAAACAAGAACGATCTGGCCCAGGAAGACAAAGTCTATGGGAGCCTTAGCTGAAGCAACTGTGGTGGAACTTAAGACTCTTAACAGAAATGAGGAAGAAAAATAGCAGACCTTGGACTTCAGAAGAACAGACTACAGCTTGATTGGGAAACTCACTGGCAGGATCCTGTGGAAAGCTGCTGTGAAGGGCAGAGGAGTGGGTTGATCTTCAAAGATGACATGTTCATAGCACAAGAACAGTCTGTTCTAGTTAGCTAGAAATTGAACAGGAATGGCAGGGGGGAGCCAGTCCAGCTAAATGGACAACCTCTGCCTCAAGTCAAGCACAAAAGGCAAAGGTTTGGACCATGGAAGCAGAGATGTCCCAAACGGGTACGAGTGATCCAGCAGGAATGTCTCAAACAAGCAAAGATAGAATTGGGAAAGCCAAGCTTGGCTGGAATTGAAACTTGCCACGGTTATGAAGGGCAATGAGAGCCTTTATAAATACACTGGCAATAAAAGAAAGAATGAGGCAAATATGGGCCTGCTGCTCTCAGTGAGGTAGGGGATCTAGTGCCATGGACATGGAGAAGACCAATGTACTCGATGATCTTTTTTGCCTCAGACTTCACTCTCAAGCTCTGCTCACAGGCCTCCCAGCTCCTCAAAGGCAATAGTTGAGTGTGGAACAGCAAACTATTGCAGTAGGGGAAGTTAAGGACCAATAAACCAACTTGACGTACACCAGGTGATGAGACAGGACGCATCCAAGTATGTTGAACAAGCCAGTAAACACCATTGCCAGCGTGTTCTCTATCACCTTTGAAAGGTCATGACAACTTGGGGAGGCTCCTGATTACTGATAAAGGGCAGATGTCATGTCCATTCTCTAGAAGGGCAACAACGAGGATTCAGAAAGCTACAGGCTGGACCAGCAGGCTGACCACACTGCCTACAACAAGCACAGAGCAAATCCTTCTGGAATCCGCTTCCAAACACTTGATGGACAAGAAAGGATAAGAACAGCCAGAATGGATCTAAAAAGGACAAACTATGTTTGATTAACCTGATTTCCTTCTATGACAAGATGTCTGTCTTGGTGCACAAGGGGAGAGTAGTACATACATCCTTTCCTATACTGCAGCATGACTTTCAACACAGCATCTCAAAGCATCTTTGTAGCCAATTAACGCCAACGTGGATTGCACAGAGAAGTTACCAGGTGAGTGGAATACTTGCTGGAGTCACAGTCCGTGGTTTTAAGTTCAAAGCTGATACACTGGAGGGCAGGGCGGTTTTTAGGAGTGACCCAGACAGGATGAGTAAATGAGCTGACAGGAAGCTCAAAGAGTTCAACGACAGCACGTGCAGAGTCCTGGAGCTGGGATGCAACATCACACAACAGTATAGGATGGCACTTTGAGAAAGAGGACCTGACAGCCTTGGTGGACAATAAGCCAAGCAAAGAGGAACAAGCAGCCAGCCTTTGCACTGACTGTGTACAAGTCTGCATGGGTAAATCCATAGCCAATAGGTTGAGGGAAGGGGGAAGTAGATTTCCTCCTCTATTTGTCACTTGTGAAACCATATCTGGAATGCTATGTCTAATTTTGGGGTCCTCAGTGCGCGAAAAATATCAAAGCATTCGCCAGCTTTATGGAAGTCCACCAGGATGCTTCACGTGGTATTCATAGAGAAGCTGAGAGAACTGAATTGTTCAGTTTAGGATGAACAAATGGTTGGCTTCAACAGAAGCTGAAATGAGGCTTTACTTTTAAGGGGTGCAAAGTGAAAGGACAAGAGTCAACAGATAAGTTGAAACACTGGAAATTCTACTTTGTAGGAAAAGAATACCAAGAATTGGGGAATGGAGCAGACTGCCCAGTAGAGCTACAAAACCTCTGTCTTTGGAAATTTTCAAAATTCAACTGCACAAGGACCTGGATGATGTAATATAACATCAGAACTGGTTTGACTTCCAGCAGAGTTGGACCACTTGACCTCCAGTGATTCTTCCTAACCTGTGTAATACAAAAATGCAATTCCAACTTTCTTCTTCTGTGGAAAAGATTAAATGTGACAAGGAAGGGAGGAGATTAACGTTAATAACGAGGCAATAGCCTGCTAGTAAAGTTGTAAGGACAGAGGCAATTAAAACCTCAAAAAGTAAATACATTTGCTACATTCAGTGTACCAGTAAGACTGAAGTAAGCCAGAGTGTGAATCAGGAAAGCTTAGACAGGAAGCACAGGACAGCAACAGTGCTTCACCCACACCAAGTTTATTATTTTGTTAATAATGTGAACTAATTTTGCAGATTGAGAAGGGAAGACTGTGCTTGGAAGCTTATTTAACTGCAGATAGGAAGCTCTGGCACAAGACAAATAATAATAAATGTAAATCACAGGAAGCAGCAGTAGAGAAGGAACATCAGCAAATTTCAAGGCAGAGAGAATGTGCAACTACATATTTGAACACAATATTACATCTCATGACGGACAGGAATCACATGAATTTATTTTCAAATGTTTCTAAGATGTTACAAATACCTTCAGATGTGTGAAATGAGATGGTAAGTATTTCAACACATTGAAATTGAGCTATGTAGTTTTACATAGCTCAATTTCTGATCAGAAACTCAAGAGAATATTTCTGTGTTCAAAACAGAATGCAGAAACTACAAACCACGCTACTACAGCTCCAGTGAAACTCTTTAAGCATTAAACATTGTGATTAAGCAATGAAAAACCCAGTAATATATGAAGCAACCAACAGAGGAGTTCCCAGTTTTATCATCCCTGGGAAATGTTGAGAATGGAGAAATCCTACTTTCTTAGCTAAGAGATAGGCTAGAATAGGATAGAATAGTATAGAGCCCTGTCAGTTGGAAGGGACACACAGCTACCATCAGTCCAACTGCCCGACCTTTTAGGGCTCACCAACAGTTAAACATGTTGTTAAGGACATTGTCCAAATGCCTCTTAAACACTGACAGGTTTGGGGCATTGACCGTCTCTCTATGAAGCCTGTTCCAGTGTCTGACCACCAGCTTGGTAAAGAAATGCTTCCTAATGTCCAGTCTAAACCTCCCCTGGTGCAGCTTTGAACCATTCCCACATGTCCTGTCACTGGACACCAGAGAGACCTTCCTCTCCACTTCGCCCCTCTTTAGAGAGCAATGAAGTCACCCCTCTCAACCCCTTTAACTAAGATTTAATAATCTTAGTTAAAAATAGTATCATCTAGGGATGCAAGTGTTGTGAAGGTATCAGTTACATAGATGGATTGTCTATTTTGGCATAAAATTTTACAGATATGGAACAGATAATCAATGCATGGAACTAATCTGAAACAAAAAAACTGGGGTGCAAGAAGGCAAGTTTAGATTAACCCTGAAGCCCTGTCATAATTGCAACCCATGCTGGATCATATGATGTAGTTCACATATCACATAACATGATCTAATTCAAGGTGCAGGAGACCTTTCCAAGAGTAGCCTTTTAGTAGAGTTCTGAATTTTTGGAAGATTTCACACAGGTAAGTTTGCAAATTTGTGGTATCTGTATGCACAGATACCACAGTTTGCATCTTACAGCCTCATAAATTTGCAAAAGAACAAAGCCCAGCAGCAGAAAAATGTTATGTTTAAAGGAAGGAATTAGATGGACTCCTCAGACCCAGAATATAATGGAATCTGATAAAA